GACTCTGACAAATCCAAGTCTGAAGTGGACGAAGCAGGAAGCGAAGAGGTTTATACTGAGACTTAACTCTATTGTTTTTGGTATGTTGTACATGTATTTAGATGTGTGACATTGTGTTTCCTTTGGATTTTTGCTTTGCAGGAGGAGGAAGACGACGATTGAGGCTTTCTACTAGGTCTTGCGATTGACTTGACTCAGATTTGAGAATGTAAACTTGCTTAGAGATGACCAAAAACTTTAAAACTGGTTATGCTTTGTGTTTATGGTATTTGAACCTCATTTGCTACTTCAATGTGGTTTTAGGTCAGTTTGTAGGGATAATATCACTTGACTGCTATATTTTCCCCATTTCATTGTTTTCACTAGAATTTATATGTTGTTCAACTTTGGATGACTGGTATGGTTTTAGTATCAGCTTTATTTCTTCTACCTATGCTTATTTATTGTTTGGCTTCTGTTTTTACTTTTGAGTTAATCTTGTCTCTGATTTTGGCATCTTGTGCTATTTGACTCTTGTGTGACTGAGAAAAGTTCTACTTCTCTGGCGTTTTCTAAGGAATGTTTGATCTCTAACTTGGAATTGGAATAGAATCTTCTTGCTGGATTGGCTCATATACCATTTATCTGTCTGTTTGCTGTTGTGCTTTTGGCATTACGTTGGAGTTTATTATTGGTTATTCGTGTGTGTAAAATCAGTACTTGTTAGGATAAGTATCTCAACTTTGAAGAATTTTTCCGTCAGATCTCTTAAATTTTGTAGAGAAAATTCAATGTAATGGTTTTATACTTTTATTGAACACTAGAAGATGCAAATTGGTTTGAGGTTAGGTTAGGTTTGATTTGGTTTTTTTAGTTTTTTTTTTTTTTAAGAAGTAAAACCAAATAAAAAATTTTGTAATTCGATTTGGTTACGGTATCCAGTTTGGTTTTTTTTTGGCTTGATGAAAATTTCGGTTTTTTTGTTTTGATTTTTGTTTCGGATTCAGTTTGGTTTTACGATTGACCAATAGTTCAGTGATAACCTGAGATAATATGAAATTAGTAATGAATATGTAGACTGCAATATTTACATCTGATTGTATGTTATAAACTAGTCAAATCAATTAATTCATAAACAAAATTGTTTGGTGTCGTTTGGATGTGTTTGTTATGGTTATTTGTCCACCCCTATTGAACTCAGAAGCTAATATTCATCCTTAGACCTAATAATGGTCTTGACTCTTGAGCATTCTTGATGAAAGACTGTCGTTCTGTTTCTCGTTGTTAGCTACTTAGCTTTCTTCCCTTCACCAAATGGGTAAACCGTAAGATACTGTTGAGTTCGGCCCAAAAATGTGGTTGAATATGTTTTGGATCATTGTCATAAATATTGGGTTATACTTTACAAGGCCGATATAATGGTTATCGGGTTGTCTCATATACTTTGGTACCACTCACTTACTATATCTATAGGCCTATTAGATAAGTCTATTTGGGACCAACCTATAAAGGAACAAATGATATAAAGTAAAGTACTATTCCATCTTTTGTGATATGATTAAAGAAGCCGCGAGGAGAGGAAGAATTCGATTGCATGTGAGTCTGATGCGACTTTTAGAAACTGATGTGATCAAAGACAAAAATGATTATGGTCGGCCCCATATAGATGATATTTTAGATGAGTAAGATTGGGTTTAGTGCCCTTTTTTATGTTGTAAACAATATTATATAACAGAGTTTTTACAAGTGTGTGCATTTCTAATCGAACCACCCGATTCTACATGTTTTCGAATTAAACTGCATTATTTGCATGAATTGTTCAAAAAAAAAAAAAAAAAATCGATACATTAGAATGACAAGACCAAACATGTGCATTCAAATTTCTATTCATATCCCCTTACTAACTCGAAAAGAATAAGGATATATATTCAAGTAAAAATATCTGATTATATGAGAATGTTATAAAATCTCTTCCCGAAGTTACTACCTAGCTATAACTCACAAAACATGTTTATAACATTAAAATGCGTCATTAGCGAGACATTGAAAAATTTGTGTGATTTACTAATTTTAATCTTACTATGGTATGATATGAGTTTAACACTACCTTGGTTTTTGTATGTGAACAAGAAATGAGTTCTAAAAGATCATAAAAACAAACAATGCACAGAAGAGAAGTTTTTTTTTTTTGTCAACACAGCAGACAAAATTAATCCCGAAAATCTAGGTGTATAGCTATAGGGACTAAACATATTCATTCTGATATCTGATAAATTCATTCATTCAACGTATGAGTTTCACAATAGTAGTTAGGCACGTAAAAACAAATGAAGTTTTCTAGATATGCAATATATGGGAGTCGTGGGCCTCGTGTCTCGTGGCATAGTTTTAATGGCTCTAGGGTTTCATAATTTCTAAAACTACGGCTTCACGTTGATTTTTTTTTCTCAAAACTTAATATACAGTTAGGATTCGTAACTATATACAGATGTAGGACTGATAAATGAAGGTTGGGGCAAATTAAAAAAGAAAATGAAACAAAAAATGAGATGAAATAAAAGATGTAATAATGGAGGAGAGTCGAATGGAGGATACGAAGCACATGACGATCCATCATTAATACATAAAATAAATAGATATAAAAATCACAAAGCGTGTTTTGAGTCATAACTTTACAACTAAAAGCCCCCACAATGCTATCACCATCACCATGAGTTGTATTGTATTGTATTCTTATCGATTCCCACCTTTTCATTTCTTTGTAGTATGTGAATTAATTATTTAGTATTAGCTTTCATGAACTATAATAATGTTGTGTTAGGTGTTTACATTGTGAATTAGATTTTTTGTGTGGAAATTGACTTGGTGCTCTTTATGTTTTCTTAAAAAAAACAAAGAAACAAATTATATTTGTGTTTTAATTTCTTATTAATGATCGGCGTAGTCTACTAATTTTTTGATATGTTAATGATCGGCGGAGTAATATGCATGCATGAATTATAGACAAAAAAAATAGATAAATAAATAATGGGACGATAAATATAAATATAGGTAGTTGGGTGATATTAACATTCTTTTTATCTTATAACATGTTTAATAAAGACACTAATTTGAGGGTTATTGACCGGGTACGTAGATGGTTTATTAATTAATCGTAAGAGAGCCACTAGATTATTACAAAAACTTTTTTAATAGTTAGATATTTTGCAACTGCTTTGCCGAACGATCCATGCATATATAGAATTGGAATATACATAACTAAATCTAGTAATGGGGGATTAGTGTTTTGCATGTATGAGCAACATCTATAGATTATAGGGTGCTTAATTAGTTTTAATTCCTATTAACTATTTGGTAATTTCTTTACTAAATAATATTCTAAGCGATACAAGTTAGTATAAATCTTTAGTGTTGTTAAAATGCTAGTTCTACATTAACATAATAAAAAAAAGTGATCCATTTTTAAGAACATGATTTGATTGATTAAATTAAACTTGGATCAGTTTAGGATGGTCTCTCAACTAATCAAACAATTTTTAACAAAAAGATAATTTGGGATTCGAATTACTATTTTGGAGAAGAAATTGTTAAATGTTATGGTCCCTAATGTGTGTACAGATTTCGGACCTAAAGTTTTAGAATTCCTGTGTTATAAAACATGTTAGTACCTTTTTGTGTGTCCATTTGTTGGGAAAAAACAAATCACCGTTATATATGTATGGCATGTAACTAAGAACCACAACATGTCCTTTTCTCTATGTTCAATTCTCTCGCAGCCATAAGGATAATGCAATTTTTTAGTTATTAAAATGAATAAGTTAAGTTGATGAATATATTCTAGGGATGATTGGTTCTTTCCAACCGTTTGCAAAACCACAACCATTTCTAAATGCTATATTGTACATGTGTGTGTGATACGAGAGTAATAAAAACCGCTTCATACCGTTTTAGCATTTGATAACATTATAAATGGCTTTAAATTTTAGACTGAGTTTTTCAAGCATTTGTGTGTTAATAAGCCGTAGCAGACAAATGCAAAAATATGTCTTGTACAATTTTTTTTTAAAGATTAACAAAAAAATATCAAAATATACTTTTTGAAACAGAAATTTATTAGTTTCTATAAATTATTATGATGTCAAAATCTTGTATACTTGATACATGTAATAACAGAAGATATATTATACATAAACAAATGCTTCAAGCTTATTTAGAATAAATTTTTAATTATTTATACTATTATTTAGTTAGATCTAGAATTTTGACTCTTCATAATATATATTTTGGTTTCTGTTTTATAAAATAAATATTGTATTTAATTTGATTATTTTATAACTAACCATTATTCAAGTAATTAGAAATTTTATGCAAATACATATGTTTTCAACCGCTATACGGAATTACGGATCATGTAAATCGTTCAATAACGCTGACAACCGTAATTTCATCATTTTCCTCGACCGTTTTCACAAATTTGCACATCCACAATTTCTTCTAACACATTTAAATCAGTTAAATTCTAAATTGAAGGTTTTATTTCTTCTGCAAAAACTGAGTTATAATAACAAAAATAAAAGGTATTATTTTCATGATCATAAGAAAATTGACGGTCCGATGTCTCCAACCATTAGCTGTTCGTTACATGGTTTCCTGTTGTTCAAGTTATCTATAGCCTATAGGTATCATTTTCCATAATCTTTTTTTTTTTGTATGGTCAACCTTTTTTTTTTTTTTTTTTTTTTTTTTTTTTTTTTTTTTTTTATGGTCAACCTTTTCCTTAATCTTTATTGCCTTAAATTATTAAGAGATAATTGGGTGAGAAGTAATGGATCCAGGGCTATTTAAATTTTCGACATTATGCTCGTCGGCCCAAAACAATGAAAATTTCAGCCCATGTTTTTGCCGGTTATACCCTCACGCGCGATTGTCCAGCAGCCCAAAAATTAACTCCTCACCCAAACAAAAGATGAAGTTTTCTCTATAATATGTCGCCTCGAGATAATAAACCGCCCCTGTAGCATTTGACGTTTGCGCTTTCTTTCTTCCATTTTTCTCATCCCGCCTTTCTCTCTCTCTGAAAACCCTAAGTACACTCGTCTTCTTCCATTCTCTCACCACCAGAAATTCCTCCAGCGAGATTGATAATCAGCACCGCCTCACTTCCAAGTTCGACGGTTTCCCCAAGCGAGGCTAGAGCCAAGTCGGTAAGCCGGAAAATCTTCGATTTCGCCGATACTGTTACTAACATTCTATTTCAACAACCGATCGTTTCCTTCTAATTCCTTTTAATCTCTCTGTTTTAAACTGCGTTTTCGTTTTTCCGCCTTTCCGATTTCGACTTCCTTTTTTTAAAGCAGTAGTCTTCAATTTTTTCCATACTAATCCTCCGATCTGTGTGTATCTTCACATAAATCACTTAGATCTACACTTAACAACCCATATTTTTAATTAGACCTTCATACATACTTTGCATGTCATCGTCATCTTCTTAGATCTATATTTTATTACTTACTAACACTTATATTTGCAGGAAAATGGCGGATATCGACCTTCCTTCTAGACTTTTTGCGGATAGAGAAGAGCCTGCCGGTGATCGTGTTAACATGTACTTTAAGCTCAACACCATCAAAGCCGTTCTCAAGGCCCTGACCCCTAAGGAGATCGAAACCATTCGCCCTTGCTTTGGGACTTTACTAGATCTCTATTCCAAGCCGGTTTTCTCCGGCAAGTTGGCCCACTTTCTCTTGACGCGCCAGTTGAGTGTGATTAAACGCCATGAGATTTGGATTGTATTCGCTGGAAAACCGATCAGATTCTCTTTACGTGAATTCGGTCTCGTCACTGGTCTTAACTGCAACCCTCTCCCCCCTCTCGACAAGTCTCTTATTAAGTCACCTCCCGGTGTGACGCCTTACTGGTTCACACTCTTTGGTGGGGAGGAGTGGGTCACCGGCGAGATGTTGTTGACCAAACTTCGGAGGTCCAAGGCGTTAGACAGTGACATACGTATCAAGTATGCTTGTTTGCTTCTGGTGGATGGGTTTCTGTCTCGGCGTTCTTACCACATGAAGATCCCCAAATCTCATGTTGAGATGATTCGTGACCTTGATGTTTTTTTGGCATACCCGTGGGGTCGCTACAGTTTTGACCTAACTATGCGTTGCATAAAATCCCGATCGGTAAGTCAGCTTGCGCAGGCCACTGTTGCGATCCAAGGTTTCATTCACGCTCTGGTTCTTGTATTCGTCGAGGCGGTACCGGCAGTTCTTTCCACTGTTGCTGCTGGGACTGATCCCGAGTCCGGTGATGACGACCCGTTCCCAGTTATTTATCTCAATTTGGACACTGTGTGGGACCTTGATGGAGAAGAAGAGGTAATGTAAACATCTATATTTTATTTTGAGTCTCCAAATTGTTTTTTAAACTTTCACTATCTTTGATACGTTTCCATCTGTTGTCAGGTTGATGTTCGCGCTATAATTCCGTCAGATCCATTGCAGTCTGGTCTCGAAGATTGTAGCTGGCCTGATGAAGTTGGTGATCCCTGTGTTGATTTGATTTTACAGCAATGGGAAGATGGAGCAAATTTCAGGCGCGGGATGTTTGGAGGTGGTATTAGAGCGTCTGATGTCCAAGTTGATCCTCCTCCTCGTGTCATTTCTAAGAGTTCTAAAGGTAAACGCAAACTCCGTTCCAAAGTGGCTGAATCTTCCCAGTCTAGAGGGGAATCTTCCCGTTCTAAGAAGTCAAAGATCCGCTGTCCCCGTCCCAGTACTTCCACTGCTGAACCCTCTATTCTCGAAGCTGTGGCTGCTCAAATCAAAGCCGGGTTGAAGGAAGGTCAGACCGATGTTTTTGCTCATGTTTGTGTTGAACTAAAATCTATGGAGTTAAGGTTAGAGCGTTCAATGAAAGCCAATATTTCCTCTGCGGTGTCTGCGGCAATAAGTGACCACCTCGTCGTTGGTAAGGTGCTTCGCGAAGTTATTGGCGGATCTGGTCAGCCGTATGAACCGACTACCAAGGATATTCCTCCTGTCAATCCCCAAACTGACTTGCAGCCACCGCAGGCTGTCATACCAACCCAAAATACTGACCTTCAAAACCAGCAACATCCTCAGCCGCAGGCTGTCATTCCAACCCCAAATACAGACCATCAAAACCAGCCCTTTCCTCAGCCGCAGCCACAATTCCCTTGCAACTTAAATGAAGGAGTTTTGGAACAACCTGATGCTGAAGAGTCTGTCCAAGAGGTAACTCCATTTATACTTATTCTTCTCTTTTGTCTCTTTCTCACTTTTTAGCTTACTATAGGGTGAAGCTTCTTCTACTGGCTCTGAATCTCGCAGTCGGTCTCAGCAGTCTGAGCATGCAAATGTATGGACCGTCATTAGTTACTTGTATTCGTACATTTTTATTCTTGCCTCTTTACATATGTTGAACTTATTTGTCTCGTCTCTTGTTTTAAACAGCAGGAAAGCCTTCCTAATGGGGATGGTGCAGATTCTGCTGATGGGGTTGTGTCAGCTGAAGCATCACCAATGTCTGACAAGTTTAAGCAGCTCATGGCTACTGTCAAACCCCAAATGTAAGTTCTATTAGATGAGAAGTTCTGATATTTTATTAACCCTTAATTTTCTAAACCATTTACCAGTACTCTGTTATACAGAAATATAACTTGCCACATTTGTCCTTATATATCCAACAGGAATTTTGTGTTTGGCGAGGGGGTGGTTCTCCAGGGTTGCGATCTCTTGAAAATACCCACTCTCATTTCACCTGAACACCCAGAGGTATGCGTTTATTCTTCTCCTGTTTTAATATTTTTCAATATGTCACTGACTTTTGATATTCCAGCAGGTCATGGACGCGTGTGTCAGTGTTTTGCGTGAATCGCTCTTCCACAATAATGACCCAGACACTGACTCTCGTGCAGACCTGCTGCCTTGCAAGTTCCATGGTTCTCTTGCTGTTCTTTATGGCAAATTCAAGAAATGCAGACGCAAAGAAAGCTTCGAGTTTGACTCTGCTATCATTGGTGATATAGCTGCGCGGTTCAAAGCCACTGGTACGGAGTGGCTCACTGACATTGACTCTTTGCTCTCTCCGTTTAACATTGATAAGAACCGCTGGATAGCGGTCCATATTGACCTGTCTTCTCACAGCCTGACGGTGTTTGATCCAACCGCTGCAGCGCGCCGTGGCTCGCGTCTTAAGCCAGAGCTTGAGTTCATCTGTGAGATGTTTCCCTACTTAGTCCGCACAGTTGGCCAGAATGAGGCCCAAAAAAATTATCCCCTTCATCCGCTATCTTTCACTAGAAACACCCGCGTATCCCAAGCTTCCACACTTGCCACCAGTGGGATGTTATCCCTGTTCTTTCTAGAAGCTTACGCCACTGGAGGTTTTGAGAAGGTTCTTTTGGTCAAGGAGTCTGGTTTGCGTCAACGGGCTGAACTTCTGGCTGTTGAAATGTTCGAACATTGTCTCGGTGATCTAGATGCGGCTTGAAGTTGAGTTTGGCGTATTGTTGTACTCTAGTGTCTATCTATCCCTTTCTCTCTTTTCTTATCCCACCTGAACTTTATAACTCTGATTTTTGTAGTACCTTATGTGGTTGCTGCTTTATTTTTCGTATTTGGATATTGTTTTAGATATTATCATTACGCCGTATTTTATAACTTAGAACGTTAACAACTTTTATAACATGATACACGACTCGCAAAAGATAGCGTCTCATAAACATACAAATCACATTAGTTATTTCAAGTTATATTATATTTTAGAGTTATTAAGCATCCCTCACACCGGCTACTTCATCTTCTGAATGAGGGTTACAACGCCACACACGAACCCTACACACCCTACGATGTACACCTGGCGCAAACTTATCTTCTTCTCCAACAGTTTATGATTGGCAACCTGTAGCGCCTCGTTCTCTTTCATCAGCTTCTCGACGGCCTCAGACAGCTCGACGGTGCTTTCGTTCTCTGCTTCCTCGCCGCGGCTCGCCAGTCTACTCCGCAGCGTGTTTAATTCTTCTGCCTGTAATCTCAGCTGATCTCTAGCCTCCAGGAGTGCTTGCTTTTGCCATCCCGATGGTGGCTCCACGTCCCGCCAGCGGAAATAATCACACGCGCTCTTCCATCCTTCACCGCATCTGTAGAATCTTCTACCAGGATTCGCGTCTGTCCAAGCTTGACGTACAAGGGCATCTCTGCCACAGTAGCAAACAACCCCTCCATCCTGAAGTCTGGTTCCCCCGCGTACTGACGAGCTTGACCCACTCCCTGAATCTTGCTTTTTTTGTTGGTTACTCATTTTTCTCTGTTTGGGAAGATATGTTTTGGTTCTTCTTTTTTATTCTTATTTGTTCCATTCACTCTCGTCGACCCACTTGCTCGATATAGACGTTGAGATGTTAACGTGGGGGGCCCCACTCGAAACCGCGTCTCTTAGTTATTGTTGCAACCTATCTTTAGTCGGCTACATAACTAGACTCTGTGAGTCGTCAAATCTATCTTATCGTCTACAGTGTTATCTCAAAACTTAAACCTACAACTACTCTACCATCATATAGATTAGTCTAGTTTGTTTGATTATAGCCAATAAATATCTAAATTTTGTTTTTGTATTCTTAACCATTTTTTTAGTAATTAAAAATGAATTGGTTGCTATTTAGATATCGGTGGCAATCAAACAATGAAAATAGCGACCCAACCATTCAAAGGAATATCTTACATTACTAGGTGTGCGGACTCACACGATCAACGCAATACACCAGATTTCGAAACATTCAGATACACTACTAGGTGTGCGGACTCACATGATCAACGCAATACACCAGTTGTTGACGAGTTCATCTACATATTACATGATGTTTGTGGGATACAACCCCGTGGCATTACTATATTACAAAGAAAATATTGCCACTTCTTCATAGCCGTTATAGAAGACCAACTTAAGCCGTCGAACTGCCTGTATACATCCAAAATGCGCAGCTCCAAAAAACTGCATTACGAACCAATTATTTTGTTAGACCCACGGATTAACAAGGACATATTGTTACTATTACTGTTCAATACGTAGTTACTTACCATACATACTACTTCCGGTATTCATATAGGCATCTTGCAGGTAGCACGATTATGCCCAATCCCAAGGCAACGCGTACAGCTTCTCTTCGCCACCTTCGCCGGTCTCTGTTACATATCAATATATCACCCCACGGTTAGACCGCTAAATATATTATTATACACTTATCTATATATATGAATATACCTTAAACTCGCCACTAGAAAGGTATCTACTTCGCTTTGGCCTACCTGGTGGCCTTTTTGTAACCGGTGGTAGCACCTTCAGTGTAGCTATGCCATCAGGGACATTGCGCAGTGTACACAAGTCAGGCACAGGATTGATGTTTCCATTGTAAGCAAGACTCCAGAAGAAGCTTCCATACTGGGGTGCCGCTAGATCTGGTAGCCTCATCTCACAGCGTACAGCCGCTGCTACTGCGTGGCCACAAGGGATCTTCAGCATCGTAAACTCCTCACAGGTGCATGTTTTCTGTTGGAGGTCCACAACATAAGATAAACCAGTAGTAGTCTTGACCTCGTACAACTCGCTATTAATCCTTATCACTTCATAAGAAGTTGAACGTTCGTAGTTCCTTAGTACCATCTCTTCCACCTTAGGGGTCATTGGCTCTGTATGGTTGGTCGCAGCCTCCCTTCTTTTTGAAAACCATGTCATTAGTGTCCCCCGAATGAATTCTAGAGTGGAAACAATAGGCAGTTCACGGGCCTCCTTCAAGACGGCGTTGAGTGACTCTGCTACGTTAGAAGTCATAATGTTGTAACGATCGCCATTACAGTGTGACCTCGTCCAATGTTCCCAGCCTATTGCCATTAGGTACTCAGCGCATCTTGGCGCGACCCTCTCGATCTCTTCAAAGTACTCGGTGAAAGTAGATTTCTTGAACGCCCTCGCTGCTTTCGAGATCAGAGGTGCCAGCATCTTTTGTTTGAACTTCGTTGCCACATTCCTTTGGAGATGCACGATGCATGCCCCATGAACTGCTCTCGGGTAAACCTACACATGTTTACACGAAGCATATGAATCTCCACATATATTGGTAACATATAATATATTCATATGGATGTTAAATTAACATTTAGACCTGTATATTTATGTGCGTAAACATACCTTCTGTAGACCGTTATAGATTGACGTGTGTCTATCGGAAACAAACGTCAGGTCATCCTCATCTGGTATTATTTGCTGCAGGCATTTGAAAAACCACTCCCACGCTTTGTCATTCTCTCCATCTACAATTCCAAAACCAATAGGGAAGATCTGGAAGTTGCCGTCTTGCGCACTCGCAGTGAGTAAGCATCCCGCGTATTTCCCCCTAAGATGTGCACCGTCAATTATCACTACTTTCCGCATAAACTTCCATCCCCGTACACTAGCTCCGAGAGCAACGAAACAATACTTAAACCTCGTGTCCCCTGCACTGTCCACCTCCGTGTGTAACTCTGTCACTGTCCCAATATTGCTCTTGCATAACATGTGCAGGTAGCTTGGTAGAATACCGTAACTACTAGTCGTAGAACCTTTGGCCATGTCTAACGCCAACTCTCTTGATCTCCAAGCTTTCCAATACGACACGTTGAGACTGTACTCATCCAGCAATGCCTGCCTCATACTCATCGGGTTCGGACCCATTCCCGCACCGGTGTATTTTGATTTCATGATCTCTGATATCACCGACGTTGTTGCCTGTCGTTGGAACTGGCTTCTAACATCAATGGGACAGTTATGTTCCAACATAACGGTCCGAACCTCAAAGTACTCAGTCTCCTCTAGTCTGACACAGTAGACTCTCCACGGGCAAAGATCTGAAACGCACCGTACAATGACCACGTCGTTTGTCGTGCGATGGTTACGGAAGCTAAATTTCCTGTTGATTGCATGCACAGCTATCTTCACTTTGCAGTCATCCCTGTTCTTGAACACCCTTCCTACAAACAGTTCATCACCCTCGTAGTCCACATCCAGCACTACTAATCTTGTTCTGTCAGCACCTGTTCATAGATAGACAGTTACATGAATAAGTTGATATTAAAAAATGAACCTTTACATGATATAATTAAATGTTCATCCCATCGTTGCAATCTCACCGTAATGGTCAGTGTCATCAGGTACAGGAGCCGCATCCCGTGCGAACGTCTGCACTGGTATCTGAAGAAGCCTCAGTATCCCTGATGATGGCGCCGGATCAGTGGGTATGGCGGTGGTGTTAGCATTGGGAACAACGTCTGTGTAAGATACATTAACTTAGTGGATTTTATTTGTAACGAACTTATATGTGTAAATATTTTAGTCAACAGTGCACGATTACCACATCGACGGTTGGAAGTGTCTCCCACATCTATTCCCCAACTCTCTTTCTCAGGCTGGGTCCCATGCACCTCGCTGGAGCTTGCCGCTGCAAACGAATGGAATTGTTTATATGATTTAGATAACTACTTTATTGCTTACATATCTAAACGTAGAGATAACTGTCCTCACCCTTCTCAAACTCTGTGAATAAGTCTCTTGTCAAGCGTGTGACCCTATCTCCGTTTTCTTCCGTCGATGAGCTACTCGCCGGGTCGAGCACAGTCACAGGCGAAGCATTCGCTCGGACCTCCTCTGCTGCAGCTTTGTAGTGCCTCAGTGCTGCTGAAAGAGTCGCGAATCCACTCGCGGAGTATGCATGCCCTACCCATCCTAGCTGACCATCTTCGCTGTCACCTACATGTTCGGGTGTGACCTGGGTGCAAATAATGTCATCTACGGCCGCCTTTGCTGCACGTCTCTCTCTCTCCTTCTCCAGATCTGCCGAGCTCATAACTTCCGCGAAGCAAAACTCGTCCAAAATAGGCACCACCTTGAAGCCGTCGACTTCCAGAGTCATTGTAACTGGCATCTTCACGACTTGGAGCTTCATATCTTGGAGATCTACGCGCATTGCAAGGAACATGTCCATGTCGTCGTCAGTGACAATGTGGATAGGCACTGGTTTAACTGATCCGTCGACATCCATCCATTCCGGCATCTCGTACGTCAGCTCGATCTTCTCACGGGTCACGTCTACTCCCATCTCCTTAATCACTTTGGCCTTAGCTGCATCTAGTCCGTCGCCTTCTCGGAACCGAATGTACGTCGCATGTTCCTCAGCGGCCGCCGTGAAACTCCACACACCTCCGTCATCCTTGCTCCACGTCCCAAGCAGAACGCGTACCTTCCCGCTCACCAACTCGTTCGTGACCTCCATTTTGAGGACCTGAAATTAGCAAAACTATGGTTAGTTAACAATTGTTTTAATCAAGATTTATAATCTAGGTTATTGATATATTAGGTTTCTTTCTCATGCATACCTATCTACTCAGCTTCTTTACCAGATGTGTTTTCTTGTAAACTTCACGTTTTTTTTTTTTTTTTTTTTACTTGGTGTTCTGCGTTTTAACTCAGCCCCATCTCCCTATTTATTGGGTATCCACAACCCTAGGTTAGTCCTTTAAATTTTCGCATCCCGCCTAAAACCTTTCCGTTTGATTTCGAATCTCACACCCTCAAACGCGAGACAGACGCATTTAATAACCATCACCTCGTATTGACTTTTGCCGAATAACTATCACTTCTATCTGACATATTTAAAGCAAGTCAGAATGTTCTTTCGGTTCCACAAGAGCCACCTAATTTTCGCCCACTCGCATACGTATCACGCGGCTTGGTTTTTCTGTAAATAAAGGCTGAATGCAGCCCCTTTCTAATTTTTGATACTACCTGCGAACCGACAGCCTCTGATAATACCTCTGCCCTAATTATACTTCCCATTTCTACCTCTGCACAAATTAACTCAATTATTAATTGAAAGTTAGTACCGAAGAGACTGATTTCACAATCCAACTACCCTTCTGTTCACGTTCCAACTTACAAAAGAGAATGAGAATTCTCATTCATTCATTCTCTCATTTATTTATTTCATATTTCTCACTTTATTACTAGTTTTTGTTCTTTTCCACTCAACAAAAAAATAGGTATAAATAAAGGAATCTTTCAACTTCTCTGACGAATTTTCGATTTTCTAAGTTTACTCAAATTAGATATATTTTTAAACAACCTTCCATATACACTTTTATTCATGATATATACATGAAAAAAGGTCCTGCCAACAACAACAAAACCAGAAAAATAATTTCAATAATTCTTGATGATCATTTTCTTTGTTACTTATTCACAATAATGACAATAATGATAAGTTGTTTATTTTATTTTTTAAATAATGAGATTAATGATAACGGTTAACAGGAAAAAACTCAACCAATAATTAAAATCAACAATTATTAGTTTTGGAACATAATAATCAAAAACAATTACTAAAAATTTTGGAGCGGCTCACAGGAACCACGTACGTAACCGGAGAAGAATACTCTGTTTATCTTTGAATCTCCACGTTTCTTCTCTCTTCTCCAAAATTCCGTTTTATCATTTTCTCTCTCTCTCTTCAAAAGTGAGAAAGCGACCGGAGTTCCGTACTTTGGATGAGATGTGTTTCGTCTCGCTGTTTCGTCAGTTTCCTACTACTAATCACCATTAGTCTTCTTCTTCTCTCTCTCTCTCTGTCTGAAAACGACTTTCCTCTGTCCCTCTCCCATTCTTCTTCTTCTTCTTCTCTCATCTCCATTTTCGAGGCTTCATTGATTCACGAGAAGACAATTCATTTCTGATATTTTTTTCCTATCTCGATCGATTCTTTGCGTAAAACCTGTTCCTGTTCTGTTTCAGAATCTGTCTCTCTTACTCTGTTCTGTTCTGTTTTGTCTGTCTTAATAAAGTTTTAACCTTTTCTTCTCTCTTTAAAAGACAAATTCATAGTTTCAGTTTCCGAACTTCACTCTCTCTTGTCGGATTCTGTGTCTCTTCTTTGATGATTCATCAGATCTCTGTTTGAAGTATTCAATTTCTCTCTCTTCTGTTTTATCTTCACCGGAGATCCAATCGTCGGAGAAATGGGAGGATTATTGCATCTCTTCGATTTCCACAACAACAGTTTCTCCCGGAAAGTTTTCTCTCATCACAAAAGCCGCGACGATGGTAAACAATTTTCACTGAATTGAATAATATTTATACTGAAGAAAAATCAAATCTTGTTTCTGGGTTTTGAACATTAATCAATCAATCATTTTTGTTGTCTTCAGATCTGGAAGCTCCAAGAAATAGTTTTGAGCTTCAAGTCGATAACTTTCAGACATACCATAACGAGAAAGATAAACCGGTAACTAATAACGAACAAAGTTTTGTTTTTATATCTCAAACTGAAAAAAAAAAAAAAAACTGATAAATGAGTGTTTTTGATTTTTAACAAAAGCAGAGTAATGGATTTGAGGAGGAGGAATGGTACGAGAGAAGTTGTTACCCAATTGAGGAATCAATGAAGAAGAAGATAATCGAAGAGCTTTCGAAACGGTCCAACGATAAACAGAACACGCCGAGTCTTGTAGCTAAGTTGATGGGAATGGATGCACTTCCTTTGGAGTCTGCTAAGTCATCGTCTTGGATCTATCCTCGACAGACTAAAGTGAATCGATATGATGATGAGAAAGGAGGAGGAGGAAGAAAAAGTAGAAAAGGGAGGTTATCTTCATCGGTGATTGCATTGGATGTAATGGAGACACCAATGCGTAGAGAACATCCTCAAGAAGAGGAGCTTCAAAGATTTAGAAGAGAGTTTGAAGCTTGGCAAGCTGATAAAAGGTTTAAAGATTGTTCAAGAATCGTTGATTCGGGCTGCGTGGTGGCTCGGGATGAGAAAGAGAGGCTTTTCACAAGAACTAGGAGCTTTGGTAGGGATTTTAGTTTGAAATCTGATAGAACTGCTCCAACTAGGATTGTGGTTCTGAGACCTGGTCTTCAGAGAGCGTATGATTACGAAGATTCGTTGACTACTTCTTCAGGGACTACTATGGAAGGAAGCAGAGGAAGTAGCATAGAAGAGTTTCTTGAAGAAGTTAAAGAGAGGTTAAAAGGTGAGCTTCAAGGAAAAGCAGCTCTCAAGAGAAGTTCATCAGTGAGAGGAAGCGGAATCGAGACTCCTTTCAGCGAAAGACCTTCTCCGAGGTCTGAATCGATGAGATCATATGCAGTGAGTGAGGTTCAGTGCAATGCACCAGACTCTCCTACTGAGTTTATAAGTAGAGATACTAGAAAACTTTTGGCAGAGAGATTGAAGAATGTTTTGAGAAAAGAGATGACTCCTTCAGATGATTCTGTGGTCAAATGTAGTAGCCGTTTGCGACCTACTGTGTCGGATGCAGCGAAACAAGCTGAGGAAATCAATCAAGAAGACTCGAGAATAAATGGAGATGTTTCTAAGAAAGATTCTTTATCACCAAGAAATCTCAAAAGATCGCTATCTGCTCCTGTTTCAGGAACATCATTTGGTAAGCTTTTGTTAGAGGACCGGCATGTTTTGACAGGCGCGCAGATCATGAGAAAGCACGAGGCTACGATAACAGAGCGAGAAGAAACAGAATCAGAAACAGAACCAGTTGTTGTGGATCCAATCAGGAGGAAAGAAAGATTCAACCTCAGGAAGAAAGTTTCTAGCTTTAGATCAACTCTTAGAGGAAGAATCTTTGGTAAGAAGATACGTTCAATGATTGAATCAAACAGTTTCGAGGATGAATCAATCAAAGATTTCGTGACGGGATCGAAGTTTAACAACTTTTACGATCGAAATGTAAGAACTTCTTAACTCTCTCTTCTATATATGACCGATTTCTTGATCCTTATAATCTAAGTTAAGAAAAATTCTGTCTTTCTTAGGAGAATTCAACAGAAGTGCCTCCAAGCCCTGCATCAGTCTGTAGCAGTACACCAGAAGAGTTCTGGAGGAATGTCGATTATCTCAGCCAGGTTTCGACACCCGATGTGACTGTATCGGATGAGAATGGTATGCCTCAAGTCTTCAGAGACATCAGTTCCAATCTAAGTGGTAAGAAAACTAAACAAAATTTTCTCCTTTTCTTGAAAATGTTCCACACATTCTTGAATTGTTTCTCATTCTCTGTTTCTGCTGATTCAGAACTAAGAAGACAAATAAATGAGCTTGAATCCGATGTACAAGTGCGAACGCCTGTGGAAGAAGAAACGATTCAAGAGATTGAGACCATAGTTGATTTAGGAAATCCAGACAAAGTATTTGTGAGAGATCTTCTTGTGGCTTCTGGTTTGTATGAAGGGACATCAGATATATCATTGTCTAGATGGGATCCATTAGCAAAGCCAATAAAAAAGTCTGTTCTTGAAGAAACAAAAGACAATCTCAAGAAAAGAAGCAATCAGAATCAAGAAGATGAAGATACCGGAGAGACTACTATAAGTGAAGAAAATCACAACATATTGTTTGATCTTCTGAATGAAGTACTTACGGTGGTGCTTGGACCATTGACAAAGTCAGGTTTCAAGAACAAACTTTTGAGTTCATCCGTGTCTGAATCGACGACTATACGAGGTAAATATCTGTTGGAATCAACATGGAGGATCATGTCGGAGTATTTATATTCTCAACCAGAGAAACCTTTTTGTTCATTGGATGGGATCATTGGTTGGGACATGGATAGGTTTCCATGGAGTGGTTTGATTAGTGAAGAAGTTAATGTGTTGGGGAAAGAAGTTGAAGGTATGATCATGGCAGATCTTGTTGAGGAGCTTGTTAAGGATCTAAGAAGACAAATATGCTAAGAACTTAAGATGTTGAAGCAGATCTGATTGGTTTTGTTTTGGTGAATATGAATGGTTTTTGGTGTGTTTCTGTAAATAGGGCTTTTTTTAATGGGGTGTTTTTCTTGAAGAAGGGAGTTTTCATGGTAACTGTAAATGTTTTCTTACAGTACAAGGAAGCTAGATTCTTCTGATTGCTACATAATTACTACTTTACTAATACTAAAAAGAGTTTCTAAATTTTAATGGATATTGCACACTCATAACAAAATTAAACATTTGTGTAATTGTCTCTGTTTAGGGGTGGGTTTGAGTTTTTTTGCCTTGCATTGTGATGATTTTCTTACCATCATTGATTTTGGCAATTATCATTATGTTTTAAGAGTATTTTTTCTTCCGTGATTGTATGAAGACTTTACTTAGCTACTGTATATAAATAAGAGATGGTACTCAAATTGTCTTATGTGGATTTCGTAACAACTAGTTATTCTCTACCAACATTCAAATATTCAATATGCTTTTGAACCAATATAGCAAGGTCTAGATTTCAGTACTACAATACTTTTCTTTACAAACATTCAATATGCCTATGGCTATGGGTTATGCTCAAGCAATATCTTAAAGGGTAAACAAGGTTTCAGCCCTAAGTAATATGTATGAACATGAAGTGTCACTCAACGACAATCTCAAACTTAACCAATTCACAGGGCCGGCTTTGAAATTTATGGCCCCAAACCTATAGGGAATTATATAAAATGAAAGCAAGTTTTAAAACTTTCATAAATTGGGGGCTATAGATTGAAAGGAAAAGAAAATATTCGGAAGCCTATTTATATATCAAAATTTTGAATGATGGGCCTAAAAAATATCGGGGTCCTAGTCCAATGTTTCATTTAGCTTGGCTCAGAATTATCCTGTCAATTCGTATATCAAGATTGAATTGAAGATAACAGAAATCATAAGAGATAGAGGGTCTCTAATTGGAAATGCTTTGCGGGAACATAATTGCGTGGAATGCTTAATTTTGACTGGCCTCACCTAAATTTGACTAGTTACCATCAATATGAGAGGAAACAATATCCTCCGATTCCAATGGAATAAAAATAAATAGTAGAAATATCAAGAGACGATCGTAGAAAAAAATATGAAAAGAGCATAAATCTAGACTAGTCTTCTTATGGGACAAAAAAAAAAAATGAATGCCTACTTCCTATGCCGCCATTTGAAAGACTTTGATCCATGTTAGATTCTTGTTTTTCCCTACTACAGAATCTAACATGTTTTAAGCTAAACCCTTAATTTCTGGACCAATATTCAATTGGTAAAACTTTGGTTTGTCATATACTGAACAGACCGATCGTCAAACATCCAAGTAAGTCCGAACACATCCTAAACATCAACATGAGAAACTTTAGTTAGTCTAGTTCACGGAATGAATAGCGTAATGAAGATTCACAATGTATAAACATCAACCATAACGTTTATATATGGTCGGATGTACTTCTACATTATTCGGAAAAAAAAAAAAAAAAGCTTTTCGATTCGGCAACTTTCCAATAACATGAAATTCCAAAAAGGAAAATTCCACAACAACCTAATCATACAAAAAAAATAAAAATAAAAGAAGAAGAGAAGAGATAAAACGGTTGTTGCCATGTATCATGGTTCCATCGTTGTTTAGGAAGTGATAAATGGAGCTTAGAGGTCTTGGTAAATATAGGGGGGATGGTTTCAAATTGAATCCCAAAAGACAATAAGCTTGGCTCTCACAAGGGAAACCCGATTATCACTGGACATGGTCGCTAGTAGGCCACCAATCTAGGCTTCTTTCGATAGGGGAGGTTGCCTGTAGCCTACTATTGATAATATGGGCTAACCCACCCCATTTAAACCCACCCCATTTATTAAATGGGATAAATGGGGTGTAAACTTAAATGAGGTTAAATAGAGTGGGTCTAAATGGGGTGGGTTAGCCCATATTAACATCTCTATCTGTAGGCATGATCTTTCAATTTTTTTTTTTTTTTTTTGTTCAGCTTTGTATTTCTATCTTTCCATCCATTTTCTTTCTTCTCTATATTACATTATCATACATATAATATGGACTTCTTTATCAATTTTTACAAATGATGATTTAATTTTTTACAACTAATTAATCTAATTCCTTGATTTATTTGATTTTATTACAAAATGATGATTTTATCTTTGACGACCAACAAATATAATTCTAACGGATTGAAACACGATAAATAATTTTTTTTTATTTTTTTTTGAATATCAGGAGTTTCTGGACCAAAGCCTGTAATCTCTCCAGCTCCGAAACATAACATATAATATTAGTTTCGTCGCAAGCGTCACTCGAATTGACGACTTTTAAGCTTCGCCTAAAATTTTTACTAGTTGAGCTAACGACACTTGGTCAAATAACTTTACTTACACCACGTCAAAATTTTTATTGATTAATCACTAAACCAAAAGTCCCCACTTCATCTATAAATTTGTTCTTTTTTAACATCTATCTTTCATTAAAGAGTAAAATAAGTAACGCCGAAATAAAAATTTTACAATTTCAACAAAAAGAAAGTCTACGTCTGTAATACTGCCATTAAGTAGTTTTCGTTAGGGAATAGAAAAAGGGAAAATTGGAAATAAAGGATATCTACTTAAAACTTTGTCTATATACACTTTTTTTGTGAGATTGTCAGTTTGGACGATTTTACCCCTACACCCTAATTTACATGTTTTTTAAAAACAATAATCATAAGAACAGATAGATATACAAGAGTAGAGGTGATTTGAAATGAAATTTTTTAAATTTGGTTTTAAAAAAGCTGATTTTTTTATAGATAAAGTTTCATCTAATTTTGGTAGAACACGTTTTCTAGAGTTCTGCGAAACTCAGAGTGTGTATTCTGCATTTTTGTACATGTTCTACATATTTCAGACTAGATTTCTGTTCTGAAAATTTTAGAAATCCGAAAATCATATATCTAAAATATTTAGAACATGCATTCTACAGTTTGCTCTATGTTCTAAATTTTTCTGAATAGCCGTTCTAATAATTTCTACATCTTCTGCAATCGTTAGAAATTGTAATCTTCGTTTAGAATGTAAATTCTACGGTATCGTAGATTTCGTTTTCTGTAATTTTTAGAATGATCTAAATATAGCAAGTAAATCTTCAGAAAAGGAAACAAAATATTTTTTTAGATTACGATTTAAATGAATATTAATTGTTTAGATTACGATCTACATAATTTAGATCAATCAAGGATGATCTAGCTATTGGTTTATTATCATAGATCATGGACCGAAGAGTCAAGATGAGATTACTCTTTGGATTTGTATCCGATTAGAGAATGTTTTGTTAGTTAACTAATGGATATGGCTGAAAATTGGTGTTAGAAGTCAAATGATGAGAATGAAGAAGTGAAACGACTGTGTATGATGATCAATCAGTCTTATAATTTTGTCCATTTTGCTTCAGTTTTCAAACACAAAGCTGCGACCTTTGATCTCTTGGTGTGCTTTCCCTTACGTCACCTTCTCTCTGTCTCTTTTCTACTTCAATGACACAACTTGGCAATTATTTATTCCAATACCCTCTGTCCATGGCTAACTCTGTATATTTTTTTCTCGAGACATGGTCTACAAAAAGAAAAAAAAAACCCAAGTCCTTTATTAAGTTTTCGTGAAAAACTCTTATTTATTTGGAGGTTTTGTGATTTTTTAATTTCTATTTTGATTTTGTAAAGTAAGATAGGGAGTTTTATTTTTTTTAATAAATATTAAGAGAAGTGAGGGTAAAATTGGGTTTTGAAATTTATAAAACCTATTTGACCAATCTACAAAAATATGGTATATTTAGACAAATTTTTAAGTAGATATCCTTTATATCCAATTTTCCCATAGAAAAAAGAGTTAGTGACGGCCGTTATTACAGTTTGACGGAATGGTAATAAAATGGAAAAAAATTTGTCTGGTTCACTTTTTCATGGAAGAGGTAAATGTAAAAGAAACGTAGACGTCAAAAGAACAAATTAAGAGATAATTAAAATTGATTTCGTAGGGTTTACATATAAAAACGAAATTGGATCAGAGAGAGATTGCAACAAAACAAAACAAATCTCCTCTCTATCTATCTTCTTCCCCATTTCTCAAAACCCTAATTTCTCCATCTCTTTAACCTCTCTGTGTTTGTATCTCTCATCTCTGTTTCTTCCATGAACAGAGATGATAAGGTAACTTCAAAGCAGCCTTGTGAATTCATCTTGTAAATTACAGGTACTCTCAAAACAGCTTCTTCATTTGGAACTATAGCTTGATTCTTTTACTCTGAAATGTTGAGCAATTATCTTTGATCAAGAACCTTATAATTGATAAATTCTGCTTTTTCATAAATTTGTTTTGATCAAGTGTTGATGATTTGGTTAAGGATTAAATATTTTGATCTGTGAATTTTTTGAGGATTGGTCTTTGTTTTTGCGATTTGATTTAAGTATTGATTGTTACAGATTTTATAATGTAAATTACGGATTCGATTTGATCAATGTTTTGAATTATGATCTTGATTTAGGATTTTAATTAGAGATATTGTTCATCGATTTTGGGTTTTAGCTGATCGGAAGAGATTTGGCATCAAATGGCGACAAATGCGAGCGATGTGAATCAGCTTGAATCCGATTCGCTTCTACCTCCACGAAAGCGTTTACTCGCCGGATTCAAGAAACAGAACTCGAAAATCGGCAATGAATCGCCGAGCCCTCCTTTCGCTTCTTCTTCGTCTATTACAACTTCAAATGGTTCCTCTGCTTCAACAGATGTGCAGACTCATCTAGGCCATCTACTGACTTCTCAACTTAATGACCAGACTCGGTCTCCCGAAGAGCTAGCTCAGGCGTCGAAAGCAACCGCTGCTTTAGCGGTTAAGGTTGCAAAGGCTGCGAGAGCTACTGCTAATGAGAAGGCCATCATTGCTTCAAAAGCAGTGGCGGCAGCGAAAAGTGCTTTGGAATTGTTCGCTTCTTTTCCCGTTGAGGCGGTTGCTTGTAAGGAGAGGTCTCCGAGGAAGAGCAAGCAGAAGAAACATGTCCCGGTTCAGCTTTTGTATTCGAAAGGAGGAGTTGTGGATGAGGATTTAGCGCGTAGGTTGAATCGAGCTATAAACAATTCTCCTAGAGTCTTGACGGATTGTTCTGGTCACAGAAACAAGAAGCAAAAGACCGTAACTAGTACTATGTACGATGGGAATGATGTTGCTGGTGTTGTAGATTCAGACAGCTCGAATGACGAGGAAGTAGACAGAACCAGAGTAAACGGGAAGCTGCTCTTATGCGATAACGCTCTGAAGGAGAAAACAGGGGAAGAGAGTAGCTCATTGGGGAAAAGAAGAGGAAGAGTGAAGCTAAAGAAGTTACCTTTGAGCATGTGTGCCTCTAAAGATCAAGAAAACGGTATCACATTAGCCGAAAACAATGTAAGCGTAAGTAAGCCGCTGGTTCAGCCGGAGGGTTCTAATGGTGGTGTGGGTCAGGTCATAGAAGGACCATCATGGAAGTGTCAGGACCTAAAGTCACCGGAATGTGTGAAGCAGAACAAAGTTGTACGTTCATAGTGTTGTTCTTATATCTTTACCTAAAAGAGGTAAGAAGGTGTAGATTCAACAGCATTGCCATTTTCAGTAGAATCTTAATGTTGTTTATTTTTATCTTGTTTTGCTTTTTTGGGTAATGTGTTTGAATTTATGTTACTTGTATATTTTGGGAATAATATTTAGATACATAGATTTTATATATATGTATGTTGGTTGTTGAATCATTGTAAGTGTTGTTGAACAAGGTCTAGTGTTATTGGGATTTGTTGATGAGAATCGAATTGTTAAAGTGATGACTGACATCACAAGTGGTTTTTATACTTTTCATTTTTCAAATTTACTTGATTATATTTTATTTCATATAAATACTTTTTTATGTTCCTGACCCGTATCCAATTAAAGCATACAACGTAAGGAAACTCGAGTAACTGAAATCGAACTCTTGTAAGAAAGGTTGCATTAATAAATAATTAACCATTTGAATTTACAATTTTTTCCATAATACATTTTATGATAATAAAAATCTATATATAATAGCAATCTAATAAATACCATTTACACATCTGAACGGTTGCGTCTTTTTATAGCAACCTTTCGTTTAAATCAGTTATTTTTTTACGGTTATTTTGGTTGCGTTTTTTTTATCGTAATTTTCGTTTTAATCGGTTATTTTTTTACGGTTATGTCGTTTCCAATAAATACCATTTGCACATCAGAACGGTTGTGTCTTTTTATTGCAACCTTTCGTTTAAATATTTATGGTTGTTTTTCTTACCGTTATTTTTGTACGGTCATGTTGTTTTATTGAATTTCTTTTTACGTAAACAAATAAACTACATATAAAATTGGTTTTATTTCATAGTTTACATATGGATATATTTTTAATTTTTAAACTAAAATTTATATTTTACGGGTATGTTTTTTAGAAAATTGCAATCCGAATATCTTCTGCGGTTGCTTCTTTTTTTATTGTACCTCTTCATAAACAGTTGCAATCTTTTATTCGAATTATTACAATATTTAGTTTATTTCACGAACAATTGCAACCTTTAGGTTATGTCACAAACAATTGTAACCTTTTATTTATATATTTAGTTTATTTCACGAACGATTGCAACCTTTGATTTATATATTTTGTTTTGTATTTCACGAACAATTGCAACCTTTGGTTTATTTTACAAATTGGTATAACATCTAATTATCTACCGTCGCGTCTCTCGGTATAAATTTTCATAAATTAATATTTTAATTTTTAATTACCAAAATGCATTTAAATGAGATTGTAATCGTTTAATTGAACCGTTGAAACATTTGGTTTATTTGACCAATCATTGCAATTTTTGGTTTTGTTTTACGAACCATTGTAATCTTTAGTTTATTTGACGAACTTGACGAACCGCTACAACTTTTGATATATCGCAACATTTCATTTATTTCTTTTTAAACTAAAAAAATTATTTTACGTTATGTTTTTTGAGAAAGTTGCAATCCGAGTAAATATTTTTTACGGTTGCATCTTTTTATCGTAATTTTTCATAAAATGATTGCAGCCGTTTAGTTGAATCATTGCAACATTTAGTTTATTTCACGAAAAATTGCAACTTTAAGTTTATTTTATAAATCGTTATAACATTTAATCATCTACCATCGTTATTATTAATTTTCGTTTAATATTTGTTTTAACAATTTTTGAAATATTTTCCCCCGCGACATCGCGGGGGTCCGGAGTCCTAGTAATAATAATAATAATAATTATAAATATAGTGATAAATTTATAGATCTATTTTACGGTATTTTGGTTTATGTCTCCAAAATCCTGGTTTTGCAAATACTATAATAGGTAGAGTAAAATCTCTAATTTATTAAATGACTATATACTTTGCGTTACACAATTTTCTTTTCAAAATTTCATAAAATAAATACTACACTCAAATCTTTAGAATGTAGCAGTGATAAGTGACGAAAACAAGGGGATTTTATTTTATTTATGGACGATGGAAATAAAAATACAAAATACAAACGCATGCAACAACAACTAAACGAAAAAAAGAGAACAAGACATCGGTTACATTTTATACCTCTTTTTAATTACATTTGTTTTTATTATTGATTCAATTTGAGAGACTATTTCCGGACTTTAAGTTTTTGACCTTCTATTTTGGATATATGAATATCTTCTTCACCATGCTGCAAAATTCACTACATGCACACAACATCCAAAATGAAATATTATCTCTCAAGATTTTAACTAATCTTCGATGAATAGAAAGAGAAAGGAAACTTACGGCCATGGATTGTCTCCAACAAGCTTCTCATTTCCTTCATTGTCTTTGAAAGCTATTTTCCATTGGTTGCGGGTTTGCAACTGACCGTTGAGATCAAAGAGTTTCTCCAATTCTATTATTAGGTGATCATATCCATTAAGAACATTTAAATCGAGAGCTCTTCCTACTGGTACACCTTGCATTTGAACCTGTTTCATATCAAGATTACGTGAGTTGGGTACAATGAGAAAAAGATCCAAATATAAAGAGTAAGAATATATTGATCTTATACTTACTTTGGTACAACTCCTAGTAGAACTGAACTGCTTGCTTTGGATTTCTCTTGGAGATGGTATAGTTTGGCCTAGACCAAGCTTTTTCTCTTGAGAAAGTTTAGAAATCTCAGATTTTGGATATGATTCCATTGGTTCAATGAGATCTTTAATCACTGAAGAAGTGGCAAGAGAGACTCCAAACAGTCTAAAACTAGCGTTTGCATTGGTTGTTATATTTTCTTCTATTGGTGTAACCATTTGATCGTTATTGTAATTTAGCTTGGGCATTGTTGGGACATGATAGCTCATTAGCATCCTAGAAGGAGTCTCATCATCTTCAATTTCATCGCAATAACTAAGAAAAACATTCATCGGGGAGGTCATGCTTGGTTCTCCAATTTCTTGACCTTGTGTCAATATAGGATGCAAGAGATGTGATGATGTTGAACCTATAATATGTATAATGAGGAGGTAATCGCAGGAATCTTTTATTCATTTAATTGAAGATTAATTCCTTAAATATAAGATTATAAGAGTCTCTTTTTTATACCGATTTCATTAACTTCTCGGGAACGCTTGTTCTTGAGCAAAGATGGCCGGAGAACATTTAACGAAGGCGTTAAATGTTCGATATCCCATGGTGAAACTTTATCAGGTCTTGGAAATGATGCAAATTCATCCCACTTCACCTGCAAAATTAGAGTTAATTAATGATATGTTATTTATTGCACTTAAAAATGTACCCTTAAAATAATGTTATAAAGTGTGAAGAGAAATTTTACTTCTAAGCTTCGCCATTCTGAGTCCATCCAATGAGGGGAGAAATCATTAACTCCAATAATTGTCCCAGAATATCTTAATTAATAAAACAAAATGTGTTATAATATATAATATTAGACATTAGAGATATAAGAAGAAAAAATGTTGATATAATGTTACCTTCTTTCAGAGAAATCTTCACCCTCAAACCGCATTGTAAATCTTGAACCGACATTGAACTTATTGTTCACAGCGTCTACGAATTTGTTGTAACTGACAATAAATTGACTTGACCTGATACATATCAATACACAAAATATAAACCTACATGTTGATGAAAGTAATCTTTTGATAATTCAATAGCATCATAAATGTGAGTTCATGGTTCTTTGAATTACCTTGGCTTGTAAACCACAATGAACATACATTGGTTATTAAAAGCATGCACTGCGGAAGCAATTACTCCATGTCTCATACTATCTATTGATATTAGTGATGAATGTATGTTCTTTTGTTGATGTCCCGCTCGTCTGATACCAACTCGTAACTCTCCAGTCTCTCCCCTGGAACCACAAGTAAATAGTTTAAAGTCCAAAACTCAAGAACCAAAAGATATGTAAAAATAAATAATATTATACCTAAGGAATACAATAACATTTCCTGCAACCAATTTTTTTGATGTTGTGAATGCATTCCAACCTGATGTTAACAAATGTCTTCGCGGTGTACCTGCATGGAAGAAGAATATTAGTTACTTATCATAATATTCATATGTTTATAAGAATAAAGGGATTTATTACCTTTGTAGCTGTGTTTGAATCTCCATTGATTCCCATGGAGATCTATAGTAAGAAGTTCTTGTGCCGGTAGAGGCTGAGACATATCCTAAAGCAAAATTTAATATGTAAATGTCTAATAACAGGTTGAAATTTGAATTCATTGAATAATAATAAAAAATACTAAACATAAATACCAGCGGAGGGAAACATTCAATGGCAAGTTTTCTCGGAACAGAGAATCCACCATGGACGCTTGTATCTGAGGCCGTTAAAACCCTTGTAAAGGAATTAACCAATGGCCTATAATGATTATCATTCTGAGTAGGGATTACAACTTGCTAAACATTAAAAACATTTCAGAAAATCAATGAGATATAATTGAAGAAAAATTACAATTCACTGAAAAATAAAAAAAATTTTAAAAATATTCTTAATTTTTCCACGCACCGTTGTATTTGGCATCAAAGTAATTTCAGCATAAGTCTCATCACTATTTTTTTCCACCTAAAATCAAACATCAAACAATTAACTAATTAGTTCTTTTTATAATAGATTCATATATACAAAATAAGATATGTATTTCATATGTATTCCCTAAAACATCATAGGGATATACCTTAAGCTGAATAGCAATAACACAACATTGAAGCTTAGAAGGAAGATCAAAATTGGTTGTATTTTATTCAACTCTTCTCTTGTATATGCCTCAATCTGAAAAAGCCATCAAAATGTTTCATAAATGAAAGAAAAAAACAAAAGAGAGAGAGAGAGAGAGAGAGAGAGAGAGAGAGAGAGAGAGAGAGAGAGAGAGAGAGAGAGAGAGAGAGAGAGAGAGAGAGAGAGAGAGAGAGAGAGAGAGAGAGAGAGAGAGAGAGAGATAGAGAGAGAGAGAGAGAGAGAGAGAGAGAGCTGACAAGCTCTATGTGGCCTTGAGGAAAGTAATAAACTTTTTCTCCAATTTTTGGAACATCACACAAAGGTCCTGCACACAATTTCCATAACTGCTCGTACATATATCTCTTGGATACATCAATTGCTGAAAAAAAACCAAAACATTATAACCAAAAAAAGTTTCAATAAATATAAAAAAAAGTCAAAATTTCTTACTTATACCTGATAATTCAGGTTGTGCAATTACAACGTTACCACTTTCCATCAGCTCTTATCCACAGATTGGTATACCAAATATGTTATCTCAACAGTTATAAGACCACTTTCTCCTTTTCCTCAACTTCTCTCGCGACCATGAGAACGCAAAATAGCACATTTATAGGCAAAACATATCAAAATACATTAAAATATTTCCTTAGATAATTTGAATACTAATTTTAATAAGGTTACCAAAATTTAATAAAGTCAATATAGAGAAATGTCATTAATATTTTGACTATATATAAAGAACTTAATATCTTATATGTTCATTTGATTAAGTTACCAAAATCAACATATGCATTATTTATATATAAGTTAAACAATATGGAAAAAATTTAATACTTACAAACAAAACAAATTTTTAGTAATTTGTTTATAAATAGCCATATAAATTTTAAATATGAGTTCTTGCTTGATTCTGATTGCATAAATAGGAATTCTCTAGCGTCGTGATCAGACCTTTCATATAGGCTCTATGGTACATCTCATTTTAGCTTTTTCTTTTTCCCTTTCCTTTAAGTTTTCTCATATATTGTCGCTCTTTGGAGAAATCTCCAAGACCATGCTCCCCTTTTCATTTGACTATGATGTGAATTTGCATGTATCCCATGGCATCCCATGGCTAATGGTGTTGGATACAAACCAACGTCCCACATCGGAAGTTTAGAAAAGAAGTTTCTAATATATAAGTAAAGTCCAACTCTAATTAGTATGAGGCCTTTTGGGAAGGAGCCCAATAACAAATCCGTGCGGGCTTGAGCATGTAGGCCCAAAGCGGACAATATCATACTAATAAGGGAGTTGGATTGGGCTTAGAAATCCTAATAAATGGTATCAGAGCCTAGGTCGAAAAAGTGGACCTAGGGGTGTGGGCTAAAGTTCGGTGTGGGAGAAGCCCTCAAATGTGACACGATAAGAAGGTGTTTCAAGAACTTCGCGATCAAGAAGGTGCCGAGTTAGGGTGCCAAGGTTTCGCTGAAGAGGAGGCCCAATGTTCGTGGTCCTTGGTTTGAACGGGAGATTGTTGGATACAAACCAACGTCCCACATCGGAAGTTTAGAAAAGAAGTTTCTAATATATAAGTAAAGTCCAACTCTAATTAGTATGAGGCCTTTTGGGAAGGAGCCCAATAACAAATCCGTGCGGGCTTGAGCATGTAGGCCCAAAGCGGACAATATCATACTAATAAGGGAGTTGGATTGGGCTTAGAAATCCTAATAAATGGAAATATCTTTGAAATCACGGGTGGATTATTTGGCCTTACAAAGGGAATATGACGTATAGTATGATGAGTTCCATCAAGAGTGTAGAAGAGCTTCTCGCTGCCTCTCAACCCGAACGTCATCAAAACATTTTGCCCTATGTTTTATATTGATGGCTTTTATTTTGTCCTTAAATAAAAAGACGAGAACTCTTCAGATTTCCTTCATCTCGCTCTTCATTTCATGATTTTACTCTTTGTTGTATGCTATGTTAGGCAAAACAACATAGAATGAATCTTCCGTGTGGAACTCCTGCAATTGAGGTGAGAGACAATTTTGGAACATATAACACATATTTTATTAAAAATATTTATTGGTGGATTCAGTTGGCGGACCCATAAATTATTTTTAGGGGGTCATATTTTTTTTTCAATTGCATTATATAATTTCTTATATTATAATATTACACAAACATTAGAAAAATAAAACAACTATTTGTATTGGTTTATGTTCTTAAGAATAGACAAATTATCAAGAGTTTGATATTATTATTTTCCTAGGGAGGCTGGTGTTGTTGAAAGACAGATTTGGCTTCGACCACATTTAGGAACTCCCATTCTGTGCTCTTGATTTGGTAATACTTCCATCTCTCTCGCTTAACCATATGAAGAGTAACGATCACAACTGAGTAATCAAGCCTTGGCCTCAACTTCTTATTCATCTCTCTACTGAAATTTAATGTTTTTGATGTGTCATTTTTCCATTTTACATATGTATATATTCTTACACTATCAATGGGGAAACTTCTTGTAATTTATTGTAAGAAAAATAAAAAGACAAAGTAATAAGAATAATCGGAATTAAAACTTGGTTTGATATCACTCACTACCACTAGACTGCACATTATATATAGAGACAACCGGATTGCGGAATCAGAAGAGAACATTGAACTCAAATCATACATTCGCAAATGTGCTATATTATATGTTTATATGAAAACGATTGTTAGTCATTGATCATATCTCCAAAGACAAAAAAAAAAAAAAAAAAAGAACAAACAAATTTTCTTTCAAAAATATTCAAATTGGAACGAACCAAAGAATGAGCCCGAAAAAGAGAGAGAGCAGTTCTATATCATATGTAAGCAAAAAAATCAAGAACATGAACCTTTGATCTGCATGTTACTCATTTGACCTTCTATTTGATCTTCATTGTTCTGTGTCCTGAGATTCAACCATGGATGTTGCAGACATTGTTGAGCAGTTGGTCGTTTCTCAGGTGCAAAATCCATAATCGGGCAGAGAAATTCAGCAAATTCCCGTGCTTCTGCTTCTGGAAGCTTGTATTTATCAATCAGTAAACGGTCGAGTGGCCAGTATTTTAATCTCCGGATCCTCTTCAAGTCGCCGTGTCTGTCAAAGTAATCCTTTGATCTCGCACCTCCAATGGCAATCTAATTAAATCAGAAGTATCAATGAGACTATAACCGAGGGATAAAGAGACAGACAAAAACCAAGTGTTTCCAGGTACCTTTCGAGGCATTTTTCCTAAGAGTTCCATCATAAGAGCAAGGTGGTCCTGAAGCCAGAGAAGAAAAATGTGTCAAACAGCTGATAAAGAGAAAAGAACTCTTTGGTAAAATTCATTTTGGGATTTCTGAAAAACCATATTTACCTCGTCTTCTCCGTAACCATTTCCCTCTTTTGGAGCGAAAAGCATATCGCCTGTAGCAAGCTCAAAAGCAGTACAAGCGAAAGACCACATATCAACAGAGTAAGAGTAACCTGACTGAAGTATTACTTCAGGAGCTCTGTACTGTCTTGTTTGTATCTCTTCTGCAAATTTCTTATCAGCCCAACATCCGTTCCCAAAGTCGACAACTTTGCATCTCATATCAATACCATCCAAATTTCTCTTGTTCTTTTTCGGTGTTTCACTTAAACCTACTATCGAAACTCTTCGTCCTGATATTTTAGCAGCCGCCTTTTTTGCTCGCCTCTTCAACTTCTTCTCAATCAGATTCATTGTTGATGTACCGTTTTGGTTCCCCTCAGGCTTTTCTAGTATTGGTGTTAGTCCAGATCTGATGGGATCCTTGGCAGGGTCAATGGTGGAACAAAGAAGAATGTTTTCGGGTTTTAAGTCGGAGTGAATCATACCGAGTTCACGATGCAAATAATCTAGACCCGTCAGTATACATTTGCATATCTCCCGCACTTTACTCAATTCCATCCCTTTATAACGGTTATATTTTATCAAACGCAGCAAGCTATCGCCAAGAAACTCGAGCACCATGCATAAATGCTGCCCATTGGGACCTGCGTGCTTGAAGTCATCAATAAGACGAATAACGCACTTGGTATTTGCAGGATCCCCATCAGCAGCAGCTTGAAGAAGTTCGATTTCATGAAGTGCAGCTTGAGCAAACTGTAAGGCGCTCTTCTGAATCTTCAAAGCAACATAATTCTACAAGATAGACATAAACACATAGTTTATTTTAACTAATGGGAATAAAGCCAAAAAGGAGGATACATGTGACATTGTGACAAGGAGCTTGTAGAATCTAATTTCAATTTCAGAGGGATTCCTTAATCTAAAGTCATGGACTTCTACATTCTAAGAGCCAAACATCGTAATTATTTTTCTCACAATGAAAGAATCTAAGAGCGTAGAAGTGTTTTCCCTGCTTAAGACAAGGTAAAGTACTCCAAAGATAGAGCTCAAAAGAGAACAAAACATTAAATCAAGCCTATAGTTAATGAAATACCCATACAATAACAATGGCATTTAAGGAACAGCGCCATTTAATACGCATTCCTCTCAATTCTCAGTTGTTTAAACAGCTATGGTTGGTCAACTACAGAGTGCCAAAATCTAACAAATTAAAATCTCTGCTTTTGTGCACCAAAACAGATCAGAGCGCAGGTGAAAGAAATCCGAGAAGACTAATGAGTGAGTACATGCTTAAAACAAATATACGAAATCGAATTCTGCATTTAAGATCTTGTTGGCATAGTAAAGCGAGATATAAGGAGAGAGATGCGTACAGAAGTGCGAGTATCATAGGCAAGCCAAACGGTGGAGAATTGGCCCCAACCAAGCTTTCTCTGAGCAATGTAACGGCCACCGGCAAACTGGTCTCCGATTCTAACGGCGTGATATCCACCTTTACGGTAAGCATCGAAACCCTCATCGTCTTCCTCTGATCCAGATGAGGATGAACACGACATATCTCTGTCTGAATTTCAAAGCTTGATCCGTGTTCTCTGTTGGATTTTGAATTGTCAAAGTTTGGATCTTTGGATAAAAGAGCTCCCTTTTCTTTAATTTGTCGAACAAGGAGAGAGAAAAAAAGAGAGGAATAGCACGAAACGTAAGACTCTCTCCACTTTTTGCTCCTCTTGTCCTTTTTTTATTGATGGGTGCTTCAAACATTTTCCCATTTTGACGTTGTCCAATTCTCCATTTTGCCCTTCTCTCTGCCTCCTCTGGTTTAGGCATCTCCTTTTCTCCCGAAGCTCCTTCCTTTTAAACATACTTTCAAAAGAAGCAAAAGAACCATCTTGCTCTCTCTGCTTGCCAGCTTGGAGCCATCTTTGTATTTGTTGCAGATTCATTATCAAGGCCTCAAGTTCGAGCTCACCAAGCCTATCAAACTTGCACTCCTCCTAGCTTTAACTTTTGATTATGTCCTGCAATAAGGTTTTTAAGTGGAACTCTGTTTTCTGGCTGAGACAAAACATCAGTGAACTCCACATAGAAGAATCAGGTACAATACTCTTCTCCACCATTCGTGAGAATGTCAACCAAGCCTTCTGAAAATCACCCTTTCCGCACAATTCTTCGAGCAACGGATTGTAGCTTTCTCTATCAGGAACACAACCTCTTTCAGCCATGTCCTCCACAAATTTGATACCATTAATGACTTTATCTTGCTTACAGAAACCGATAATCACAGCATTGAATGTTGATGATCGAGGCAAATAGCCTCTGGTGACCATGTCGTTAATAAGCTCAAGTGTTTCTTCTATGTTGCCTTCTTGGCTATATCTATGAATCAAGCAATGGGATACTATAACACTAGGAACTCCTCCTTCTCCAATCATCTGATCATAGGCCGTCTTTACATCATCCATACCGCCTTTCTCGCATAAACTTATCAACTTAAAGCTCCTGTCAACTGCCCTTGGAAAAAGTTTCTCCATCTTTAACAGGAATTCGAGAGCGTCCTCCCTACGGTTTTCCTTGTAAAAGCCATAAATAACACTGTTGTACGGATCGATTCTGGCCCCATGAACGGTTTCACTGTCCTGCATCAGTTCTAATATCTTTAAACCATCGTCTGTCCTCCCTCCTTCTGAAAGCCCTCTGATCAACGTGTTAAATGTAGCAAAGTTCCATCTAATCGCATCCGTTTTCATATCATTGAAAGTGTCCAGAGCTGAATCCAACATTCCGACATCACAAAACCCAGCAATTAACAAGTTGTATGTTTCCACATTGGGCAAGTAACCCCTTCTCTCCATCTCTTCAAAGAAGCGTTGAGCAACTCTCATCTTCCCTAGCGCACAATACCCCTTAACCAAGGTGTTACAAGCTACAACATCGACGTTACCTCCTTTGCTTTCCACTCTCTCTAAAACCTCGAGTGCCTCAGACACACGGCCTTCATTGCAGAGCGCTTCCATCACCTTAGTTACCGTCACAACATCCGGAACAAGACCCAAACTAAAACATTTCTCCAGCAACACCATCGACTGAATCAACTTCTGCTCGTTGCAGTAAGCAGATATCAAGATGTTGAAAGTTACATCATTTGGTTCCTTCATTTCACTCATTAAACTCCTGGCTCTCCCAACTTTCCCATTCTTACAAAGAGCATGAAGCAAGGTGTTATATACCACAGTGTTTGGAGCCACACCGCTTGTCTTCATGATTTGAAGGAGCTTAAAACCATCACCAATCCTATTCGTCAAGCAAAGCCCTTTCATCAAAATCCCATATGTATACTCATCACCATGAATCCCACTAGCCATCATCTTCCTTCTAAAAAACTCTCTAGCTATGTCAATATCTTCCTTGACCAAAACATCCAAAATCGAATTGAAAACTTTCAAAGATGGTTTGATCCCAAATTTCGAAACCAGATCAACAACACTAATCACACGTTTGGTCAACCGAGCACGCCCAAACCCTCTAATGATAGTTACGAAGATAGCATCATCCGGAGGCAAACCGATTGACTCAGGCATTTCGTCGAGCAGTTGGTAGACAGTATCAAAACGTCGGAAAACACAAAGCTTATGAAACAGAGCACGATAAGTAGAACGAGAATGGACAAACCCAGGAAAAGTCGATGCCCATCGAAAAGTTTCCAAAGCTCCAGAAGCTGATTTCTGGTCTAGAATGAGACGGACGATATGATCATCGCTGGGGTACCGAAAGCAAAGAAGACGAACGTAGTTGAGGAAGCCATAATCTTCTTGTCAATGGCACATATCGAGAAGATGCCAAAAGCTTGGAGATTTTCAGCATCAGATACACAAAAATTGTCACAACTTGAAACAATCAGTATCAACTAACAATTAAGCAAAAAGAAGTTGAAACAACCATTTGAGTTTCCATATCGTAATATTCTAGGCAAACGCAAACAAACAATTGGAGCTTAACTCTCTCATTAGATTACAAAACTTGGACTTTGGGACTTTAATTAACATAAACATCTACGGTAAACAATTGCAAGTAGGCCTGAGATTATTATCCGGTATCCGCGGATATCCGTATCCGTATCCGTTTTTTTATCCGAAAAAACGGATATCCGGGAAAACGGATACGGATACGGATAATAAAATAACGGATATTCCGGATAAGGATACGGATACGGATAATGTTAATTTTAAAAACGGATAACGGATATCCGGTTATTTTGTATTTTTATACAAAAATACGGTATTTTTATACGAAATACAGTATTTTTATACGAAAATACGGTATTTTTATACGAAAATACAGTATTTTTATATGAAAAAATGATTTTTTTTTTTTGCATGTCTACGGATATTCGCGGATATCCGGATTTTTAACGTCATTTAACTTTTGCAACTAAATTATATCTTAGTTTTATCTTAAATATAATTTCGCACGTGCGTGTTGGTCAGGATCTTAAAATATAATTATGCACTAACGCAACTGAATTTCGTTCATTACTCTAATTTTATAATATTTATACTATTATAAAGTTCACTAACACAACAAAATATTTTATATTTTTAAAATCTATATAACAATTTCAATAAAAATATCTTTGTACGTAGGTGTGAATCCAGATCTAATACACTAAAATATATATCATAGAAACAACGAAATAATCTATATTGAATTAAAATTTGTTAGAATTTTTTTAAAAATATGAAACCCCGCACGTATGTGCGGGTCAAGATCTAGTACTTAGCTAAAAAGAAGGCTTATATTACTTGCTTATCTCCGTTGAATAGTGACACATTTAGCTACTTTTATATAGCTTATTTTAATAAGTTAAACTACCAACTCTACAAAATATGAAACGTGTATGAATGGGGGAACTAAACAAAACCTATTAATAGAGGAGAAACACAATTCCATATGATATCATATCACCGCTCTATTTTTGACTTAGTCGATGTTGGTTTACTTTGGTTAATCGTTTGGTTCCCATAATGACGCCGCTATAAGGGGGTCATTGATATAGAGGCGTCATGATTTTGTCAAATAAGATATCCACTATGCCTTCTCACGACTTGATTGGCAAGTGCTTTAAAATTGGTTCAATTCAGATTCTCTTTGAGCTCATTTGTTTTTAAAACGCAGCCGCTAGAGTTCCCTTTCCTGTGAGTTAAAAAGAGTAGGTTACATTTAACAAGTACAAAATGAAATCAAAAATATTTTCAATTTGGTCCACTTGTTTTGATATTGATCTGAATGCCCCTCTTTCGATGTTTTGGGTTGTTTCAGTTCATGTTCTTAATGACTACGAATTGGTTCGTGCCGTTTTGACTCAGAAACTAAGCCATGAGATAGGGAAAATAGCCTAGCATTAACATGTTATACAAAAAATGGATGGAGTCTATAGCATATAGGAGAAATGTTATATATGAAGCCAACCAAGTAATAAGCTTTGAAGAACACAAGAAAAAATCATACACCTATACGCCAAACATGACTTGATGGCGAAATTCGATGTCTACAGGATCAAAATGGATACCAAATTGAGATTTAGCCTCTAGAGAGCAAGCAAATTTGACATGCACCAGAAACGATATATGGATGTTTTCCCGTAAACCTTTTTTACGTTCAATTTAACAACAAAATATGTTTACTTTAACTAAAAACATAGAACTATGTTAAATCATTCTTGTCCAATACATTTTCTTATGGCCTTAGATGATTCGTTACCGTAATTTAGATTGGAAGAATAATGGCCAACTATAACTAAAATCGTAATAAGAAGACTCCAACTAGAATTTCCTATAGTAATATTCAATGCATTGTTTTTTTTTTTTTTACCAAACTCAAGTTCTTAATATCTAATATCTTTAACCATTTTGTAAATACTCTCAAACTAGATTCTAAGAAAAAGATACACATTTCTAAATACAAATCTTATTTCGTTGCAGAATACGTCACTTGAATCATAGTTCTTACATGAAGAGATATATACATATATAACTATATAAGTACTACATGTTGCAGTTTAAGTTATACGTTAAACATTTAGATAGCAGTTAATTTATGTAATATAACAATGACAAACATACAATAACTAACAAATAAAGTGCTAGAAGCGAAACAGTCTTTTAGATGATGTTGCATTTGAAGTACTTTTTGAATACTTCTTCTTCCCTGCAGTACAGAGAGATGACTCTATAGACTTCAATCAACAATTTCGGAAACCGTACAGCAAAGTACTCGTCGAATCCTTCTGGAACTGTTCCGACAAGTTCCTAAAACATCAAAAGTTTCAAGATAATCAGTTTAAGCCCGTGAGTGTAACTGTGTTTGAGGGATTCAATTATAAGATGAACCTGAATTTCCGGAGGAAGTTCTCGATAATGATTCAGTTTGTTCCTGATGACTCGTAACAAGTCACGAATGCTGTCGTATTTGTAACGCCTGTAGCGCCCGATGTTTGTGATGAAAACAGGTTCTAGCTTTTCATCCCATTTCCCTCCTATAGCCACTGGAGCTGTACTCTCCATTGCTTTCAAGATTTCAGAATCAGCTTCTCTATTTTCAAGCTCAACTCGGTCACTAGCATCTCGAAGGAAAGATAGTCTCATCTCCGAGTTCCAAAACATAGGATGAAGTAGCACTTCGGTTGCGCTAGGACTGCAAATAGCAAGCAGAGTATAAGAGATTAGGCTTTGTGGAGTGAATTTTAATCATCAGAGAGGAAAGTAACATTACCGTAAATCAGGGTCTGGGTTCAACAAACGGGATATGAGGTCTGAAGCTTCAGGAACGTGTTCTACTAGAAATAGGTCGACTTTGTTCTTCACAATATTGACATCTCGTTCAAGATCATCTCCAAATGGATGCTTACAACCGGTTATCGTGTAAAAGATGAGACAACCTAAACTAAACATGTCCACTGCACGAGTTTGACGACCATGTAGAAGCTGCTCTGGAGCTTGCCAACCAGAACTACCAGAACCTGTAATTTTTAAAGGAGATATTTCAAAAATGTGGTTTGAAACTCTTTTCATAAACATAATCACATATTCAACAAACGGTCATACACCGCGCTCAGCGACTAACATGCGCTCCCATGACCAACTTATGCCATTATGTAGTTTTTCTCTAGTGTTAATTTTGGTTTGCAAGATCAATCAGACTTATTTTTGAAAGTGTTACAAATCCAATATTTTGGGGATCAAACAAAGTTACAAAGTTAATGTAAAACAACTTACCTGTGGCAAGGTGACCCAATGATGACATATCTCTGGACATACGCTTGCTAATGCCCATATCTGAAAGTTTTGCACTCAAAGTCATCTCTTTACTAATTAACACATTTTGTGGCTTCAAGTCCCGATGAACTATTCCCAATTCGTGTAAGTGGACGATCCCACAAACTATATCACTGCATCACAAGACAAACAATATGAAGAATATAAGTTTAAATAGTAAATCAGCTAACAAGGTTTAAACTAATCTACAGTTTATTGTATCAGATTGCCTAAACTTATCAAAACCATAGCTACCTTTGATGTTCAAATGAAACATATCTTAATCCAAGAATATTATGACATATATAAAGAAGTACAAAGTACAAATTAACCTCATTAGTTTAAGCATGAGAGGTGACGGGTGGCCCCCCACTTTCCAAAAGTTGGTTCCTTTGATAACTCCCTCCAAAGAATCAAGTTGGATCTTATAAGCAGCCACACCTTCAGTAGAATCGTTGTTTCCCAATATTTTTGTCACAGAAAACTCTAAATAGGATTTGATTAGATCATCTAAACTGCACGTGCAACGCTCTAGAGAAAGGTATACAAAATCTTGATCATACTCCACACCATACCACCGAATGATGTTTGGGTGTTGGTCTGATGCAATGAGGTTTTGAATCTCCTTGAAAGCAACCTCATGATGAGATCGAACAATGCGTTTTACCGCTACAGGCCGACCTTCGTAAATACCCTCGAACACCACAGTACCGTTACTTCCCTTTGCAATTTCTTTACTTGACAGAAACAACTTACCGATCTTTCGCCCATCAGTTGCACCACTTGGAAAGTTATTGAAGCCTAGTAACATTTGACCTCCTTCAATGAGCTCGAATTGATCCTGGCCACGAGGAACTGACTGCCTATTTGCATCCTTCCCTGATTTACGGTTCTTCTTCTTTTTGGAAGGTACAGATTTCGAACTAACATCACTGCCCCTCGACGAAAACTTTTTAATGAAAACAGAGACAACAACACCCAGAAGCACTAAAGGGGCCAATAACTTTACTGGTGACCATTGTCCAAACACATATGTATATTTGTGCCCACGTTGCTCTTGTAACTTCCTTGATTCTCTGGCTTTTCCAAAAGGCATGATGCTGTTTTCGCTCTCTAAGTGATTTTGGGAAGGGGAAGGTAGCATTTTCACATTCATTGGCTGATCATGGTGCACCCTAATAACAATTTCTGGGCCACGAATGTCGATTTGTGATCCACATAACAATGGCATATAAATTCCAGTTTGAAGTTTAGGACCGAGATCATAGCCTGAATTGAAAACTGGATCACATAGTAAAGAAGCTCTGAAGTGAGAAACCGTCAAATTCCACACAAGCTTTCCAGTGGTTTTACTAAAATGCTCTAGTTTGGAATCTGTTCGCCTGATAAGAAGCGGTTCATTCACAAAATCTTCAGTGCTAGCGGGCTTCACCATAGCATTAGTAATTTTAGTATCTCCGGTTGATTTGTAAACATGAATAAGCCTCCCTGATCTACCATCAAGCAAATAGGCAGTAGTTGTTTCTGACCCAAGAGTCACACCATCATCCGTCACAAGTGGCCTCTGCCTAAAAAAGTCCTGAACTGTCTGCAAATTCGACGAGAAAATGTGTGACATATGTATTAACATAATTAAACGACGATCCAGCAATGAGTAAGGAGATATTATCAAAGTCTTTTGTGTTTTTCATACCCAATTATGATAGCCATCGACCGTTGAAGCCGCCTTTGAGTTGTTCAGATATTCTACTATTATGTGCGGACGACTTATCTCAGTAGCATTTTCTGTGTTGTTATTAGCACTCAGAGGAGCCTGATATAACGAATGCATTGGTGATCCTGTTGAAAAGGACCAAATTGTCTGCGCTGGTGATTGCTGCTTTAAAAACACTTTCCCAGCCGGATCAACATCAAAGTTCGTATTGGGCTCACTGATTAGAAGACAGATAACATCACAACCAATAACCACATAGAGAAATCAAAACTTCAAAAGATCACAAACCAATTATGACCACCAAAACTTAATCACTAGTCCATCACGTTATCAATGCTAATGATACCTTAAAAAACTGTCACCAAAATTGAATACTAAGTCTTTTAAAACATGTAGAGGATGGAAGAAACTCACTGACGAATCTGCAAAATCGTTCTGCGGCCAGGACTAGATGGCACGATAGGATACGTCACATCGTCGGCAGCGCCGCCGCAAGGAGACATGATCCATGGTGAGAGTAACAGTAGTAAGAAGAATATATGGCGGAGAAAACGACATCTCGGAGGCATGGTCCGGATCAATTATGGAGAATCTGAACAGAGATAGAGATGGTGATCAGCTGTTAAAACAGAGGAGGACGATTCGATCATCGAATTTAAGAATCAAGAGAGATAGAGATAAGAGAAGAGGTTTTCGAATTTTACCTGATGGTGAAGTCAACCAATGGAGATAAGATGCGAAGGTTTTGTGTGAGGCTGCGGTTTAGGGATCTCCCGGCGAGTTTCTCCTCCCTTGCCCCCACCCTAGTGTGTCTCACGCGTTTTCCTTTTGAATCTTCTCACAATTTTTATTTTTTTTAAAGAAAAATATTACAGAAGGTAAATTAAAAAAAAATTAAAATACAGAAACCCTCGAACGAACCAAACACTGTTTTGTCTGAGGCTGCGGTTTTAGGATCTTCGTGTGCCCCACCGTACTGCCCAACTAACTACTTCGGCCGGGCCGAGCCGAGCCAATAAGGTCTTTTAAAATTGCTTGGTGTACTGCTGTGTTTACTTCGGTTTAATCAGATTGAGCCGGTCAGAGGAAAAATGTAACCAAACCGGTTTTAAACCGTCGTCGTTTTGTTTACAAGGAACGAATAAGGAGCTTGAAATTGAAAATTTAGGAGTCACTTTTTGGCTTAGGTTTTAAAGGCTTTAAAGCGCTTCCTCTCTTCCGTTCCGACGACTTAAATCTTCACCGGCAAAAAATTGAAGATGTTGCAGAGCAAAGTTTTCAATAAGAAAACCAGAGGAGGAAGAATCCAAAAGGTCTCTCTTCAATCTCTCTATGCTTCTTTCTTCTTCCTTCCCAGTTTTTGTTCGTTATTGTAACTTTTAACTCTTTGTCTGCGACAGCAAGTAAGAGAGGTTTATCTACGAGATGACATATACTGTGGAGCTTTTTCTTGCAAGTCTTGTGATTCTTCAGCTGCTCGTTTGTCTTCTCCGAAGATAATCGTTGTTGATACCAACGTCGTTCTTCACCAAGTAATTTCCTTTATTGATTGATTATATAAGCTAAACATTTTGTAGCTTGTGGATATTATTAATGTAATCGTTTTTGTTTTTGGTAGATTGATTTGTTGGAAAATCAGGCTATAGACAATGTTGTTGTTCTGTCTGTGGTACTGGATGAGGTTAAGAACAGGAACAGATCTGTTTACAATAGAATCAGAGCTCTCTGCAGCAATCCAACCAGACAATTTTATGTTTTTTCCAATCATGTCCACAAGTAAGACATTGTTCAAACTTGTGAGCTTTTAAAGAATTCAATGATTAGGGAAATGATGTTCTGTTAGATTGATTAGATACTCTCCTTATGATCACTGGAACTTACTGATCTGTCAAAACTTTGCTCGTTGTTAGACATTGTTCAAACTTGTGAGCTTTTAAAGAATTCTTATCGTTGTTTTCTCGCCTTTACTAAACTCTCCACAGGGATACTTATGTACAGGCCATGGAGAAAGAGAGTGCCAATGACCACAACGATAGAGGTTCTATTTACTATTTCATTTATTAATATCTTGTTACTTCCTTGATGATGTCTCAATCCATAAAAAAATTTCAGCTTTTAATTTTCATCTCCTGCTATGCAGTATGCATCTGTTATTACTTATTAACCTTTTGATTTATCTGGAATTCAGCTATTCGCGTCGCTACGTTATGGTACCAGAAGCATCTAGGGGATACATCTCAGGTGTTGCTTGTAACTAATGATAGGGAAAATAAACGGAAGGCCACTGAAGAGGGAATATCTGCAGAGACAAGTATGTAAACCATCTTTTCTTTTTTTCATTGTAGTTGTCTTACTTTCCAGCATTCCAGATATCGAAACTTGGTTTTACATGACCGTTTGTGTGTTTTGCTAAAGTATGTTGAAGTTTATCAATGAATGTTTCTGTATCAGTTGAGGCTTATGTTAAATCAATTGGACAACCTGAATTGTTGGATCTACTTGCCCAACCAACCAATGAAGACGTAACTATGGAAGATGCAGATGATTCTAGACCTTCGAAGAGGAAACTTATATACCAAGAGGTAACGGAGAAAAACATATTTGTTTTTCAGTCTCAGATTTGGGTAACTAGCCATCAAACAACTTTTATCTCCAGACTCCAATTTTGTTCTTTTTCCTGCCTGCAGCATAAGCCCATGTCTGAGATTACTGCTGGCTTACACCGTGGAATATATCATCAGGGAAAACTCCGTGTCAATCGTTTCAATCCTTTTGAAGCGTATGTTGGAAGTGAGAGCATTGGCGAAGAGATAATTATCTATGGGCGCAGCAACATGAACAGGGCTTTCGATGGTGATATTGTTGCGGTCGAACTCTTGCCTCGCGATCAATGGCAAGAGGAAAAGGCATTATCTATAGCTGAAGAAGGTTTATTTCAATATCTACATATATTTTACAGTAGCTATCTGCTTGTATGATGTTGTGTAAACTTATCTTTCTTTCACATATCAAATTCAAATGCAGATGATGAAGAGGATGATACTGTTCATTTGGCTCCCAACAGTGCTGATGATGCTCCTAGAAGCTCAAATTTATCCCAAGAAAGTTCTGGGGACAAAAATGCTGCCCCTGCTCGTCCATCAGGCCGTGTAGTCGGTGTTATCCGTAGAAATTGGCACTCGTGAGTTCATTACTTGATTACCCCTATCTTCTTGCTGGTATTTTCTTTATGAGACATTGATGCATCATATGGGATCATATTAACAGATATGTTCATAAATTCTCCTTAGAGATGCCTGTCTCTGGTGACTACATATATGACTTGACAGTTATCTTTACTTCTCTTGATATTGGTGTCTTTTGTCTGAGCAATTATGCTTTGCTTTTCTTTGACTTTGTCTTACTCTGAGAGTCTAGTTCAAGCCATGGTTTCTAGATGACGGTTCCTAATTTGGATATTATCATGCAGCTATTGTGGATCTCTTGAACCGATGTCACTACCGGCTGGTAGTGGTGGAACGGCGCATGCTTTATTTGTCTCTAAAGATCGCCGAATTCCCAAGATTCGCATTAATACTCGACAGCTGCAGAACCTTTTGGATATGAGGATAGTAGTGGCAGTTGATTCCTGGGACCGTCAATCTCGATATCCTTCTGGTCATTATGTACGACCAATTGGCAAAATAGGTGACAGGGAAACTGAAACAGAGGTAAGGGCATTATATTAAATTACTGGGCTCTGTTCTAGGAGGAGGTGGGAGGGCGAGAGTTGGACAAGTATATTGATTTCTTTTCAGGGAAGTCATTGACATAGATGATTGGACATAACATCAATACTCTTGCTTGTGGATGCTGCAGGTTGTATTGATAGAGAATGATGTTGACTACTCGCCATTCTCTTCTCAAGTTCTGTCATGCTTGCCACCCTTACCCTGGTCTGTATCTCCTGAAGACGTATCCAATCCTGTTAGGCAAGACTTACGACATTTGCTTGTCTTTAGTGTGGACCCTCCGGGTATGTACCTAAAGCTCTTTACTCATTTGATAGTATATGATTTTAGGCAATTTAATTTTCTTCCAGAGTCTGCCGATAGTTGTGTACAAGCCGATGAACTTGTTTGTGGTGCTAACAGGTTGCAAGGATATTGATGATGCACTACACTGTACATCGCTTCCAAACGGGAACTTTGAACTTGGAGTCCGTATCCTAGATTCCACAGAATTTCATTTAAATATGACTGAGCTTTCAATTTAGGACATTCAATGAGTTACAAATCACTATGTGGTGTATATTTAACCAAAGCAATGAAATGGCTCCTGGTATCGTTTTGCTTCATTGTTTAATTTTATCATACTTATTTAGTGCCAAATATTGCATTTTAGGTGATCTGTTTTATGTCTTTTAGTATTCAGTCTCTTTCAGAAATTTTAGCTAGTCCGTTGTATTCTCTTCATATCCTGGGAGTGAATTTATGATGCATATCCTTGACCATGATTTTAGACATTGCTGATGTAACAAATTTTGTTCACCCTGGTACTCCTTTGGATGATGAGGCATCAAAAAGAGGCACATCTGTCTACCTTGTTGAGCGTCGTATTGACATGCTTCCCAAGCCTTTAACTGAAGGTAATATCTTCTTACAGAATACATTCCCTTTGTGCTGGAATTTCAATGCGCTCATGAAACATGTTTTGCTTGCAGATATTTGCTCTCTTAGAGCTGATGTGGAAAGGCTTGCATTCTCGGTTATTTGGGTATGCTTTTTCCATTTTCAAATGTCACTGCAAGGCATATTAGCAAATTGGTAAACGGCTAGCTTAAGCATAATTCATATATTTAGGAAATGAGCCCTGACGCTGAGATTATCTCAACGAGATTCACAAAGAGTATAATCAAGTCTTCTGCAGCATTGTCCTATGTTGAAGCTCAGGCACGGATGGATGACAGGTACATTCTATTTTACCATAGAGTTAGAGGGTCATTGGCTTGTTTGCTTACCTTTGCCACTATAAACTTATTTCATTTTTTGTTCTCTAGTCATTTGACAGTGACAAAAATGATAGCAAGTATTGTTAAAAAATTATTGCAGAAATATTAACCTTTCTAAATTCATGAATTTTATTTTCCATTATTTTGAATTGTTGAGTTGTTTCAGATTCCCTCTTTTACATTATGCCAAAGATTGACAAATGTAATTAATTTCTTGCAGCCGATTGACGGACTCCGTAACTACAGATCTGAGGAATATGAATACCTTGGCAAAGGTTTAAGACACCTCCTTTCACATGTTGCCATATGTTCCAGAAATCATAGAAAGAACACAATATTTTGACCTGTTTTTTGCTCTTGAAACCTGTAGATAATGAGGCAAAGGCGTATCGATAGGGGAGCCTTAACTCTTGCTTCTGCGGAAGTCAAATTTCAGATTGATACCGAGACTCATGATCCTCTTGACATTGGTATGTTATCTGAGCAAAATTTGCTTCTTCTTGATGAATATGAACGATATTTTCTCTGTCTTTTTCACCCAAACACCCATGAAGTACAACCACCTCTATCCTTTTGAAAGATGTTTTCAATTTATTCATCTTTTTTTTTATTTGTTACCATGACTCTGTTTTGCACAGGCATGTATCAGATTCGTGAAGCAAACCAAATGGTTGAGGAATTCATGCTTGCTGCAAATGTTTCAGTCGCTGGCCAGATCCTTAAACTATTCCCTTCTTGTTCACTATTAAGGTAAAGTTTGCGATAGTTCTTGAAGGTTTAATGGATTTCTCTTATATCGGTGGTCTGTTTCTCAAAGAATAGCAATCATTCTATATGTGTTGAAGGGTTTCTCTGCGCAAAACTGATTTTAATTTTTTAGGAGATGTGACAAATTAGCTATCAAATTGTTGCTAAAGATGCCTATACTGCTATACTGGTTACATGAATTGTTTACCATTGTCTTCTCATGAAATTTGGCCATAAGTGGTTAGATTAAATAATTTTTTGCATATTTAGCATAATGAATATTATGGGATCCAAGTAGCTGTTGAGGACGTGCTTAATTTTTACAGGCAATTATTGGAATTTTTGTTCACTTTTATTATCAATAGTAGTTCGTCATATCTCTGCTTTCGTTCTTCATGCAGGCGTCATCCTACTCCAACAAGAGAAATGCTTGAACCACTACTGCGTACTGCTGCAGCTATTGGGCTTACCTTAGATGTCTCTTCATCTAAAGCTTTGGCTGATTCACTGGACCGAGCTGTGGTGAGTATCTCTTTTTGTATTTTATTGCAGCCACTGTTTGCCATTTTGAGTACCTCCTCGGTGTCGTTCTACTCATAATTAAATGCAATCGTCACTTTTTAGTGGTCGTTGATTGCTATATTATCTAAGTAACTTACTTCCTTGTTTTGCTTTCTTTTTCTTTGCTCAATATTAACAAATCCGTAATTCATCAGGGTGAGGATCCATATTTCAACAAGCTGATCAGGATATTGGCAACTAGGTGCATGACACAGGTAATACTTCCGTGATGACTGAGTAGTTAAATTGCTGGTGATTTTCACAGGATATCGCCATATTTAACATTTTTAATTTATTACTACTCAGGCTGTGTACTTCTGTAGTGGGGATCTCACTCCTCCAGAATATCATCATTATGGACTTGCAGCACCCCTGTATACTCATTTTACATCCCCGATCCGGAGATATGCCGGTAAGTGATAATTGCTCTGTCTTCCCGTTTTTTCACCTGCTAGATGCTATAACCTTGCTTCTTTCCCTGGTTCTAGATGTCTTTGTGCACAGGCTACTTGCCGCTTCACTTGGAATATACAAGCTTCCAACAGTGTTCCAAGATAGACCTCAACTTACTAGTGTTGCTGATAGTAAGAGTTCGCTTACCATTTTGAGCATTTTGAGTGTTGCTGTGGATTATTACAAGGGTTTATTATTTTTGAGCATTTTGAGTGTTCTGAAATTTTTTGTAAACATGAGTCTTTTGTCCCTTACTGATGTGTTTTAGAACTTAAGGTCTTGTTTTGTGATATCTAGCAGGGAGATAAGGAGAATTCAACTGTTCATTTTTTTGTAGAGATCTTGGATGATGATTGTCCTTTTACTAATGCACTGGAGTTCAACTATTCTAACTAATTGACTTGTTTCAGATTTGAACTATCGGCATAGGAATGCCCAGATGGCAAGTCGAGCTTCAGTAGAGCTTCACACTCTCATCTACTTCAGAAACCGGTATAGATCATCTATTTTTCCTGAATCTTACTTGATTCTAAAGGTAAGGACTGGTAAAGACTAAGAGAAATTTTTGTGTTTTATGTTGCAGACCCACAGATGCAGAGGCGAGAGTTGTGAAGATAAGATCCAATGGTTTTATAGTATTCGTCCCGAAGTACATTCTCTATTCTTTGCTTATTTCACTATCATAGTAAAGTTCATAGCGTTTGTAGCAAGTGTAGCCGATTGTTTTTTCTCGAGCCACCATGTTTCACCTATAAAGATTTAACTCGAGATACAAACCTTTTGCAATTAGAAATTTTAGTGGAAAAGAGTACCCAACCAAAGGATTGGCTAATTTTTTTTTATTTTTTTTCTTACTATAAGCACCTTCTGTTTTTTCTTACACTGGAAACGTTATGCAGGTATGGAATCGAAGGCCCTGTTTACTTAACTGGAAAGGGAGAGAAAGGAGCTGGTGAATGGTATGTAGATGAGGAGAAGCAGAAGATTGTTAAGATGGATGGAAGTTTATCTTACAGTGTCTTGCAAACAGTGAAGATTCACATGGAGGTAGTAGAGCCTCAGCCCAACCGACCGAAACTCCAACTCACTCTCTTGTAAAACTCTTCAACCTTGTATTTCACTTTCACTTGTGTACCGATGTCAAGAGTTCAGGTGGTTTTACGTTTGTTTTATGCCTCTCTGTGTCCATTGTCGAAGTCAAAAGACATTGTATCATCATTTCATTATCTATAGATGGATGCGAGTTTTGGGAGGTGCATCACTTTTGATCCTCTGTTTTTCTTGATAACCATATGCTTTTTCATTAACATGATGTAATACTTGATACAATATTTGCGTTTTACAAATGGGGATATGGAGAAAAATGAAGATTTGCAGAAAGGTACACATGCAACCAGAAAAAGTTATGATCAAATTTTATGTGATAGACAAAAAGAATGGTAAGATCCCTTGAGCAGAGCTTCGGCATCTGTTTTTCCCATGGTCTCTGTAGTTGTAGAGAGATAGAATCTTCTTGTGCTCATACAGAGTTGCAGGTTCTCTAGACTAACAAGTGAAGGAAGATGGTGGACCATACAGTGAGGGCCAGTATTGCGACCAAGTAGGTCCAAAGCATGAGCACTGAGCACTCATCTTGCGCAACATTGTACAGCTGTGTCATGGTACCTGTAGGTTTCAATTTGTCTTTCCTCGTTAATATTGTTCTTTTAATTTTTCTAGATTTGCATGAACTCAGTTGATGATTTATGACTAACCAATATTCATGGCAGGCGGGAGGGTGAATTGAAGCATCAAAACATATTGAAACAAAGGATCCGCTGGAAGAAATCCGAGATTCGCAGCTGTTAGTACAATGCCTATACCGATAATTGGCATAATTATGTACCGAACACAGACTATTCCAAGAACAACCACCGGTTTGACTGCCGAAGAACGTAAACCTAATCGATTTGAACCACAGTAAGTTAGTTAGTCTTTTTGTTATTTGATTGAGAGTGAAATCTGAGCTGTGTATTGAGGGATTTACCTTGTATGAGGTTGCCCCCTAGTATAATAGTCATACAAGGAATGGTCCCATCTCTGCATAATCAGTTAAGTTAGTAACTTAAGATGCAAATGGTCAGGATGTAATTCATGACAAGATTGTGGTAACTACCCAAGAAGTTTTGCAGTGCTTTGTACTATTCGTAAAGGAGCATCATCACCTATGATAAGATTTCTGAGCCATCTAACTGCACCGAAGATGAAACCGATAATCTGAAAGCATCAAACATGTCACATTAACTATTCATTCACTCTTGGTATATTCCTCAGTGCTAGTCGGTAAAATGAACTTACTGCACCAAGTGTAGGTGGTGCGAGAAGTTCCTCCAATATCTCATGGAGGAAGTCTACTACTTTCCTCCAAAACCCTGTCTCTTCCTTTACCACTTTGTTTTCCTTATCTTCGGGTGCACCGAGGAGATGGGTCTTATGATCAGCCTCTAAGTCGCTATTGGATGATTTAATTGCTGTTCTCTCAGATTCTTCTATGGCTTGAATTCTCATTGCGGACCCTTTTATCAACCGAAATGTGTATGTCCATATGTAGAAACCCCCTAGCTGCACAATTACCGGTATAAAATTCAATTTTGCTTCTCTTTTTTCCTCATCTCATACGAATATACCTTTATAACGTTAACATTACATACCGCCATGGAGAAAGACGCGTAAGAGAGCCCGACGGTTCTACATACACTTCGGTTACCAAACGGACTCTTGTCCTCGTCGCAGATTGCTGGGACAAGTATGATTGGTAGGTTCCCCATATTTCCTATTAAGCAAAATTGAGTTTCTCCATGAGAACAAAACAAAGATATATTTAACATAATACATATACTATGATGATGACGTTCACAGGGACAGGGAGGCAGGGAGGGTCCAAGTAATTGGTGGCATTACCTGCAGAACAAGTTGCAACAATAAGACCTTCAAGGTAAGGAGGTGGTTTCAAAATCTTAACAACCATCCACCCAAGAAGTCCTCCGATTAGAAATGTAAGTCCCATGTTCACCGGCATAAACCACCTTTAATTTCACATTAAAAAAAAAAAAAAAATTATTTTTCACCGTTTTTACTAAGTTACCATGATCTAAACAAGGGTAAAAAATTGATAGGAAAATTCTTACCATGAGATAATGTCTTCAAGTGTCACCGTCTGAGCTAGATTGGCAAACATGAGAGCCGGTGCAAATAGTACAAACACCACCTAAAAAGAATTTGAGTTCATTAAAACAAATCTTGGTTTTTTTTCAAAGACTCAAGAATCATTGATGAATTGGTTTACCTTGTTCATGGAATTACGGGCTTCAACAGGGAAGAGCTTGCAACGATCAGAGGCCAAGAAAGCTCCTACAAGACTCATGACAAGAACTTGAATAACCGGCATAGAAGCCACCTCCAACAATGACCAGAATCCCATTTTTTCTTTGTGATTCTATAGACTAAGGGATTATTATGGCTCTAGCTCGGATCTCTTCTTTCTTCTGCAGTTTATCTGCAGAGAATTAATAAGCCTGAGAAGAGAGAACATATACGAGGTAAGCACATATTTACGTTGAGTATATACATATTTATATATAAACTTACAGAAGCAGAATGATTAAACAATAATTTATGGAATTGAGACATGCCAGAGTTTTGAGTATTTCGAGACCCGTATCATTGGAGGAGTAGCATAAGCTGTGTTTTCACGTTGAAACTAAATAATACATTTCTTTCCATATTTTTTTTTTTTTTTTGATAACCCAGTATCCAGACCACACAGTGATCTGACTAGCCCACTGGGCCTAAGCCCGCGTCACAGGGATTTTTAAGCCTCCACTTAAGGGCCCCCTGATAAACTGGTGGTCTGGGGCGCCTGAGCAAGTCCGCAGGTAAATTCCCAGGTGGCCACAGGAGTGAGAGAGCGAAACTGCGTCTGGGGAGGATCGATCCCTGGCCTAGACCAACAGGGCGATCCTTCCAACCAAACGAGAACCACTCGCCCACCACCATGTGGTTAAATTTCTTTCCATATTTATGTAAATGTTGTTTTGACCCTACAGAAACCAATTAAATCATCTATATTATTACTATTTTTTATTCAACATTTCTTTTTATTTATATTTTAGAAACCCGTTACATAGAAATTATCGGAAACTATCAAAATACAAACAATTACGTAAGTAATGATGTATATCTTTTTTTTTTATTAATTTTTGATAAGGACAAATTATATGTATAATGATGAAATCTTTTTTTTTTTTGGCCAAATGAAAAACGTTAGGACGAGTCTAATTTGTTGATTTGACTTAAACTGAAATTAATGACCTAATTGGTAGATTAAGAAAATGAACTAATAACACATAAGAAATGGTCGGACACGGGATTACGTTTGGAAATAGATTCACCTGTTTAAAATACTATTTAATTTACCGTCCAAAAACATGTGTTCAAAACATGTTGAACTTCTCAACTTCACGACATTGAAAAATCAATTATCCATAAATCTAGTAATATCCTGTGACGATGGTACCAAAAAAAAGGATATGTTTGATGATGTGATGTGAATATTTCTTTTGATAAATGTTAATTTAGACATGATCAAAGAAGTTTATAAGCTAGGGTACGGTGGTTGTGAATAAATGGATACATTCATCAGACTTCAGTGCCAGGTTTCTACACGTGTTTATAAATTGTATAATGCAAATATATGGACACCTAATGTTAGTTAATGGGCTCTACTAAAAAACGGAAAAAAAACAAAAAAAACTAGTTCATACATATAATTTTGTAAAGGGGAAATAGAAGAGTAACAAGGATGAAATACATTGAATTTTTTTCTTTCTAATTTTTATTTTAAATAATTACTGGAAAAAGAGTTTTATGTTAATATTATTAGTTTATTATAAAAATAAAAAAATTATTATGATTTTTATGATATTGTTTTTTAGCTAATTTTTATGATATTTAAAATCACTAAACTATTGTATTTTAAGAAAAATCATGAGATCCTGAAAAAAAAGGTGTATCAGGACAGGTACTATCTGGGATTCTGGATACATTATAAAATGCTGAACCTGTTGACTACGTTAAATTATGGCTGAAAAGTAATTTACAAGTTCTTAAGAAAAATTTGATAGAATATTATAATATCAAGTAATTAACAAATGAAAACCCTTTGACAAAAAAAAAAATCAAGTAATTAACAAATAAAGCGTATCAATGGTAGACCCCAAATATCAATGATTCAAGTTATGGGAGAGAGATGATTAGATCTACTTCATACGCAACACGTATGCCACAATTATTTTTTGGTCACCCATGTTTTAATATAAAACACGTTAATTTTAAGAAGCAAACAAAATGACATTAATGTATAAATATTCACACATAGGAAATAAGAAAGAAAAATAACCTCTAATAAAAACCAAAAAATATACGATCAACCTTGAATTATAAAAGTTACAAAAAAACTTCTCAGTTTAAATAAAAATCGTTAATTTAATTTTCGACAATAGCAATCATTTACTTTTGGGAATTAAAACATTGTCGTCTTAGTTAGAGTAAACTATCCAAATATTGACATTCTACTACTATTGTTTAAGCCTTGATTTTGAGGTGAGATGTTCGATTTGGTTTTGAATTCTAGCCTCAAAATCAACACCATTAATAGTAAACAAAAACCCAAAATGAAATCGAACTCCGAAACTCTAGCCTACATGGCTACATGGCTACATGGCGTAACTCTAGATAAAAATCAAGCTTAATTACTAGACATGCAGAAACTTTAAATCTTGATCTTCTATGTTGAACTCTTCAAACCCAAGTCATCTTCTTCATTAATATGATACTGTGTGTTTTGTGTCTAAAGATCAAACCCGTACGGATTTACTTTGGGTTTTTTCCCAAATTTTTAAACTAGCTTGAATTAGACTTGACTTGACTTATACATTAAACAATTATTTTTTAATCTTCCGATGTGGAAAGTTGATTTGTCTCTCGACATTATCTAGTTCCAAAACCTCTAATTCTTCAAAAACTAACAACTATTTTATAAATCATATTTGGAAGTTTCATTTGCAGTTTCTCTATATTGTTTACACATCTCCTTTGCATTTTCTCCATATTATATAATACACATGACTCATGCATGCATAAAACAAACAAAATTTTAAATTATTAAAAAAATTATCAGATTATTTTATTATTATTATTATTATTATTTTTTTTTTTTTGATAAACCCTATCGGCTGATCCGGTTGGCCTCGGTAGGAACGCACCGAGGTGCTACAGAGTGGACTTCTCCCGATCCACCACACTGCCTGATCCGAGTTTGGAATACCTTCCGACTAATGCCAGGGGATAGTCAGACCGCCTGCATTTCTGACTACCAGGTAAACCAATTGGGCCAAGGCCCAACTGACAGACTTTCCAAACAAATGTGTTTTTAGTTTCCAGGGAGAATCGAACTCGGGTCTGGGAGTTTCACCCTTCACCAAAGCTTCCTCTGCCACTAGACCACAGAGGCTTGGGCAGATTATTCAGAATTTGAATATACAAACATGACATATGCATAGAAGCGTATTTAATGGATCTAAATTATTTGGTAAGATGATTTGCCTACAACTCATTACGAAGCCATAAAAGATCATCACCATGATCTTTACATCTAAACCATATCGAGATTCTTGAACGTAATGATTGGTATTGAATCTTAGGCACGTATATTCAAACATCTCAAATATAAAAATATGGATTTTTGCAATAATATGATTCGAAATCGATTCTATCAAGCATGTTATGTGTTTATCGTTTTATTGGTCAAAAGCAATAATGATTAAACTACATATGGATCGTTCGATAATCAAACCTTGATTACTGATTCATCCAAAAAAAAAAGACGTTTTAAGAAATGAATAGAAATTACCTGAACCAGGCAAGAACTCAGAAGAATCTATCTCTATCCGATGCATTAGGAAAAGACAAATTACGCAGAGATAGAGGTGAGATTAAAAAAAGAAAAAATTGATGTGGAAAATCAGATAAATTCGAAAAAAGGTCAAACAATTATTCTGTTTTCCGTGTTTTAAGCGTTTTTATATTCACCAAACAAAGTTAAAAAGACCAATGGAGAAAGATATATAAGCTGTCTTCTTTACCCTAACATGGTGACAGTTGCCCTTTTTCTTTTGTTTTACTTTGTTCAATTCTGTAGTTTGCAAGTTTTACTATTTTATTTTTACTATCTTTTTTATTTACTTTTTTGATAAAATGTTTTTTTTATTAATTGATTACGGGTAGATCATTATGTTATGTTCGGAAACATTGTTATTTTCTTCAATCATTCGACGTATTATTTTAAAATTATATTATATATTTTGCAAAAAATTTCCCAAAAATATTATGAAACTAAAAAAAGGTTGTATTTTAGCTAATATATTAAGAGACACACACAAACACATGACACATGCATATGCGTATGTGTGTCTTTGTATAGAGCTGGAGTCTTGGAGGATATATAAAAGTGGACTACGTCACGTAAATTGAACAACACAACAAAAATTAATTAAATTGACGAATCATTGGTGCTGAGATCATATCGTTTGGAATCAGCTAATATCAAATGTTTATAAGATCCATAATAATAATAATAAGATAAATATAAAGGTAACTTAAATGACCAAAACAACAGACCGTCCCAAAAAATAAATAAAAATCAACAGTCAAGTTAAAACAAAAATGTCGTCCACACACAAAGCTTAAGTTTAAGTCTGCCTAAACCTGAAACTTTTTCGGACTATCGAAAACTCCATATATCCATAGAAAAAATCAAAGCGGATTATGATATCCGATAAAAATTGTTTTTGATTTTTGTTTCTGTTTTTTAAAATATCACTGAGCACCGAACTTTGATGTAATATCAATTCATGTGATCCTGAAATTAAGAACACATGTGTCTAAATTATTCACCTCTTAAATAGTTCATGTGAACCATATATCTCTCTTGCTTTTTGGGTGCAATATATAGAAGATAAATACATACTATATGATTACATAATAATTGACATGGAAATTAAAAACTCAAGTGTATGAATCCAAGGCAAAAGATGTGGACCTTCGTCATATTTTGTAGTGTGGCTAAAAACATGCGGACCAGATTTTTCAGGTTTTTTAATCTTTTCGAAAAACGTTGCGATTGTGGGCGAGTTATACGGACTTGGGGAACCCACTCACTATCTCTTCCAACTATTGGGGGGTTTTTGTGTTTTTGTGTTTTTGTGTATTTGAAAAATAGAAGTTCTTAATATTTTTATCCACAATGAAATTGATTATGCTCCTTATGGATGGTCTAAGACCACCATTAACAAGGGTATCTTAAAGAGTTCTTAAGTAAGAAATGTGGCTTAGCTAAGACCCAAAACTAAGAAAAGTGGCTTAGCTAAGACCCAAAACTAATAGTTCTTAACTTTAATACTTCTAAGAACCATTTTTAAGATACCATTGTTAATCATGCTCTAAGAGCTTTAGGGCTCCCCTCCCAATATCAATAATGTTTTCCAAGGGCCACAA